TTCATAATGTCTTTGTACGTGTTGACAGATGACCCTTCACCCGTTGGCAGAGCACCGGGCTCAAACAACTGGGTATCTGCTGTAACATTGCCACCCCGAAGATTGGGGCCTGTTGCAGTAAATGAGTCCACCAGGTCACAAACCAGATCATCTTTCAAAGCCTGGTCACCAATCTCGTAGACCAGACTGAGGCCATGTGCGCCAGTCTCTTGTACAACCTCGTCTCGGTTTCCAAGAAGACTAGTAAATGTGGCTTGGCACTTGCGTAGGCGCTCCTGCATCTCTGACAGGTGCCCGCAGTTTTTGACGAGCGATAAGAGCCAGATGGCGGACGCCTTCCGGAGAGATGGCTTAGGCGCCACACAGTCGGTGATTATTTTGTCACAGATGTCGGCAAACACTGTCCGCGGTACATCGGACTGGGGGAATTCTGCATCCACATCGAACTCCTGAATCAGGGCCCGGGAAGCCCACCCAATTGCAACATTACTTAGCGCCTCACCCACTGTGAACTGAACCTCCGGGCTCTTTATTTCATGCAAACTGTACAGCGAATCTAGATAATCACTGAGAAGGGAGGTAGCTGAGGGCGTTCGAGCAAATGTCAATGTGACGAGACCCAAGGAGCTGATTGGTGTATCATTTTCCGACTTGGCATCCTTCGACAGCTTCTGCTGGACTTTTTTCCAGCCTTCCTCAGGCAGTGTTTGCAGCGTCAGGATGCCCGACAAGCCGAGCTGTCCAAGAGACTTCTCTGCAGTCCGCTGAAGAAGAGAGTCACGGGAGACATCGACAATGTCTAAGACCGTGTCGATAAATTGTTTGACCTGCGTTTCGGGAATCCTGTTGAGAAGACCACGATAAGCAAGTCTACTGAAAAGATAAGACAATGCTACGACTGCTCCTCGGACTCGAAGCGCAGCTTCACCGACAGCGGTATTCCACGACTCGATCGTACTGGCTAATTGTGCCACAAAGCCTTGGAGTTCATTATCAGCAAGGGAAGGATGAGATGCAAGAATACCGAACGAGCGAGCTGCCAACCCTTGTACATCTTGGTTATTGCTAAAGATGGGCTTAGTCAAAGACTTCACCCGGGAAACAAGCTTTGCAATAACGTCGTTGGGTGACAAAGAGCAGATCTCCACGAAGTGGACGCCGCATTGGCGTAGACCTGTCACATCTTCTCTAACAAGCCCATCGAGCATGCCGCACAAAAATATTAAGACAGCTTCTTTCGCGCTGTTACGGATATACTTTCGGACAGCGGATCGCGCCTCTTCGCTGGTTGAAAGTTGCACCTCAAGTTTATAATCCCAGTCTTCGTCCAACTCAGTTGTGGCAATGCCGGCGGCTGAGAAAGCTTCCCAGAGCAAGGCATTGCGCAGGAATGATATAGCAGGTACAAATGCATTCCTGTAGGGCCCTGTTAGCAGCTGTGGCGTAGACAAAGCCTGGCCTAACAAGGTGTCGTGCTGCTCTTCTGAGCCGAGCAGGAAGCGAGTAGCTTCAGCAAAAGTTGGGAATTGGAACCAAGACTCATCTCGCTTTGGTGTAGCTGCAGTGGCGCTCCATTTTTCATCCTTGGTTGGATTGAGAAGGCGGAACCAGTAAGGGTGAAGGCCTTTCTTGCCTTCCTCCACGATCTCCTGTTGTCTTTCAGGACCTCTAGCAATGGCCATAAGATCAACCCAACGAGCGACCACATCATTAAATGGCAGGAATCGATTCGCAAACCGTACAGCGGCATACTGCACGCCTCGAACAACGGTGAAACCGGTGTCCGGGTGAACATCTCCTGGATGCAAGCTCATCTGCTGAACCAAAAACGGGCGCAGTTGATTCTGAAAGTCTTGATCATGGCTATTTAAGGAGGAATTCAGAATGCTCCCTAGCGCCTGATCGATGCTAACGAATATTTGTGGACTCGAATCGTCGGCACTGAGCGAAGTAAAGAGCCAACGGACGAGATCAAACTCGAAATTCTCGGCCTCTTCGCTTTGAATCTGAAAGTCAACCTTGGGAACCAGAATGCCAATGCTTTCGTAGGCCAGGCCTCGAAGGCTCAAATCCGTGGCAGGTAGCTTCTGTCCGCTGGCGCCTGGGCTTGGCCAATTCTGTGATTGAATAAAATCCCTCAGACCGGCGATTATTTTGGGTGCAATTTGTTTGAGATCCGTTGAGGAACCCATGCGAACAACCCACGTAGTGAATGTGAAGATCTGGGTTCTTAATTTTGACGCCTGAAGTCCTTGAGCGGACCTTGCGGCATCCGATAGAAGTCCATCCTCGATGAGCTTGTAAATTCGTTGTGTATCCTCGGTCGCCTTGATAGACTTCCCTAGAAAAACCAAAGCTTTCACTTGGAGTGGAGGGCGAGCAGGTGGTGCTCCCTGTGCACCAAAGTACAAGTCATACAATTGCTGAACAATTGTTGGGTCTTCAAGATCGATGGCAAATCGCTTCAAGGTCTCGTCACCCAGATCAGCAAGGCGGGAGTTTGCGTCCGCAGAAGCAATTAATGAAGGCAGAAATCGTTGAGAGTTATCAAACGCTCCGCTTCCAAGGAACCGAAGAGCGACAACTTTAGTCTCGGTCAAATTCAAACCTCCAGGAGCAGCAGGATTCCACGTTTCTTCAGCAGCCGCACCTTTTGTCAGAAAGGTATACTCTTCTGGAGACAATCCTGGGCATGTCTGAGCCTCTGGGACCGCGGGAGATAGAATAAGGAGCTTCCCCAGCCAGAATGACAAGAACTGGGAGTCTTCCTCTGAGAGACTCAGGCGCTGTTTCAATTTTTGATCCTCATCGGATCCCTTTGATGGTAACTTTAAAAGAGGCAATAAGCGTAGGACGAGATTGAACACAATGGCGCCCTGGGTAACTGATGTTCCGATCTCCGCAATCCCTTGTAACAGGGGCAGGAGGATGTCGACTCTAGCATCAGAACCGAGTCGGTCGATTCCTTGTTGCGCATAGATCAGGTCAAAATGCCGGACCAGTTGAGACTTTTGCTCTTTAAACTGTTTCAACAGTGCTGCGACCGGTAGTTGAATAGTGGGGGCTTTCACCCGAGTGTTGACATGCTGGCAGACGGAAATCACCTTGTTGCGAACCGCCACGCTGTCAGACGACAACTTCAGCAGCAATGGCGGCAAGTAGATTTGAAGTAGCGACTGAAGCTTCTCATCAGTATCTGCCATGGCGATTCGAAATTCCACTTTGCCTATCAGGCTCAACTCGCGAGCCTCGGGGCTCTGAGAGTCTGCCATGGTGAGAAAATGAATGTTTTGATATGAAAGAAGTTGGCATTGACTCTGGGCAAGTGATCTGATCGATTCCACTAATACTGCTCCAGAACTTTCCACAGGCAACCATACGCACGTCAGTTGACTTGGCTCTTGGGATAGTTACGCGTGGGGGAGGACGATTAGTCAGGGTGATGAATAATGCCCATTGGTGGCCCGATATTCCAGGCATCATGACTGAACCACTTCAGTGTTTATTTTTTTATACTGTCAAAGATCTTTTTGAAGGTAGAAAAACAAGTCCACCTTTCAGAAAGCCGACCTTGGGTCATTTTTTACTGGTTTATCTAGATACGATGCTCACAATTTGCACTTTTGTAGGTACGACATTAGCTCTAACACACCTCCTAATTCAAATATATATCCACATCAAGATTCTTGACTGAAATCCCTTTAACAAGGCCATCTACCTAAGTACAGTTGTCTTAGTGAGGTTTCTCTGTAAGATCACATATGGTATGTACATAAAAGTTGTTGTATTTTTGTATTAGCCTACAATATGTCTCGCAGAGGGAGATTAGAAAGTCTCATTCATCTACCTTTACTACATAACACACTCTTAGGAGTCAAAGTAGGTGCTACCGGGCAAGTTCTACCTAGCAAGCTGTAAGAGCCCCCGTGTTCAAATGTTTATTGGTAAAGACAGAAACCTAGAAAAACAGGCTTGTTTAAAAGAAATGAACTAGTCACCAAGTTCTCTGCAATGCCCGTCTTTACAACCTTCACACAATCTACTGTTATGTGGACCCTTGCTCTTTTTCTTGAAATAAAAAGGCACCGGCACTTGTATCCCTTTCCAAACTTTGATTCGATAGGCAACCCGGTCCGCGTAAGAGCCGTCTAACTTTGGGCGACTGAGAGCCTCACAGAGCTTGCAACGCTGATGATAGACCCTAGCGTTGTATCGTGACTCGGAGTACAGTCGGATGGTAATAGCTATCATTTTGCTCGACCAGCCGTTTGAAGGACAGGTGCCAGATTTACATGCAAACCGGCCCATGATATGTGTATTGTATTTCCTTTCGCAGGCATCAGGGTCGTCAGTTGGGTAGAATTTGAGCTGGGGCACATTCGCTTCCGAGAGGATCTCGCAAACATCCTTGTGTAGATCAGGGTAGAGAGACCAGCTTTTCTGTTCGACTCTGGGCTTCTTGGAGTTTTTGCGTGCCATTCTGTTGATTTTGTGAGGAAATATGACCGAAGATAATTAAACACTACCCATGAAGAGGAAAAAGGGCCATTATCATATCCCTTGGAAAAGAGGGGTAGAAGTACTTATTTACTGGCACAAAGAGCGTATGTTTGTATATTGCTTTTGACTTATGGAGCAAATTTGCAGGGGTCGGATTGGTGACAGCGGTGTTGACGTGTTCATACACGTACAGGTTCAGTTCTGGCCACGACAGTAGACAAACGTCATGTTATAGGTGCATATCCTGTCCATATGGTATTATTGCCATCTGCCCAGCCGATTCAGAGCTGGAGTTCGAAAGATAGAGAGTCAATAGGACCCAACCGGGCTGGGAATAATGTACTAAATATCGTGGCTAGGCACAATACGTATTTACACGCTTGAATATTCTACCTCATACACTACCAGTAGTCATTCTTCGATCCTCAGTACATCATGATCTGAGAAAATAACAACCCATGTTTGGCTCAAGAGAATTTGTAATTACATGCGATAATGGATCATAGATGAGCCTCATCTCGTCTTTGATACGCAGCTTCGCCTCGCAAGAATCTGCTAACTTCCCTCTCCGCCTCAGCTGAACGATCATTATCATCCTCTTTCGATACTGCATTTCCAAAAAGACACTGCCACAGATCATCTTTTTTGACCAGTTCTCCACCTGATGCACCACTTGTCATCAAGTTTGTTAGACCTGCATCTTGTATTTCCATGGAATTAGCAGAGTCAATAGCTGTTTCGGTCAGATCATTGATCAATGATTCATCAAAATCTTCAGGAAATGTCGAGCGAGCATTCTTCTCTTGTTTCTCCTTTTCGATGATATGGGCTAGTCGACGAGCAACAGATAACTCATATATGGACTCTTCCACCGTACCGGAAACAAGATACATCCAAACGGTAGTGGGGCGATGCTGACCGATTCGATGTACTCGAGCAATGGCCTGAAGTTCAATCGCGGTGTTGATTAGCGGCTCACACAAAAACACATGGGTAGCATTAATCAAGGTCAACCCTGATGACTGTGCCTTCCCATGCAATAAAAAGCATTCAACCTGCGAGAAATCGTCAGCATGACTGAGGGCAAATGGCACATATACTAGAATGAAAAAAAATACCGCTGGATCCTTCTTGAAACTCTCGATACCACCAGGATAATCAACGCTACTGCTGACGATCTTGAAGCGATGAAGAGCTCTTTGTAAAACTTCCAAAAAGTTTTTGTACTGAGAAAAGATAATAGATTTGGCTCCAGGGTCATACTCTCGTAGCCATATGATATGGCGTGCAAGAGTGTCGATCTTGGTGCCGAAAGAGCCATTCAGGTCGATATTTTTGATCTCATTCAAAAGACCAGAGCTGATATCACTATAAATCGCATTCTTTGAATGCCGCTCATGATCGAATTTGATAGCTGACTCTTCTTCTTGAGCAACCAGCTCTTGTGGCTTGTAGGTGATCTGATGAAAGTCGTTGTATTTCAACGGCCTTTTGCACATAGGACAGGTTCGATGTTGACGCCACCAAAGCCGCAAACAGTCTGTGCAGTATTTGTGACCACAAACGGTTAAGACACCTAGGAAAGTTAGCATCTACACATGGAAGAATTTCCATCATCTGAAAAGAGATAATACTTACCAACTTCGAAGCTCGATTGGCAGATGATGCAAATCCTGCTAGAGTCTTCTGAGCCAGACTCATCCCGAAGGTGGATGAGATATCGCCTCTTGGACTTCAAAGAAGAAATTTTACTTTCAAGCTTTTCTTCCTGCTTTAGCTTGGAAGCAAAAAGATCCTCGTTCATAGGCTTCCCAGCATTTTCCTCGTCATAAGGTGCCACCGTATCCGAAATCTGTTGCAAATGTCGGTAGTATTCCAGCCTATTGTTCATAGTGTCACGAAACATTTCAACCTCCCTCTCTAAGCTAGCCGACACTTTGAGTTGCTCGGCAATCATCTGTCCGGCATTTTTCAAAACTTCAACAACCAACTCGAGTTCAGCACGAGCCCGCGAACTTCCTCCAGTCGCCTGCCAGTCGAGCGAGGTAACCAGGCTACGAAGTTCGCTGATAATACCACGAAGCGATCCCAGCTGGGAGTCGGGCATGATTTCACTGCGAGTATTCATGATGGAAAGAAACAGTTTCGGAGAGGGCCCTTCATCTTTTTGTGCTTGGATGATGCCAGCCTTCACCTCGTGGGAGATGAGAATGTTCTTCTGACCAGTGAGAGCATCATGGCGATCTGCGTAGGCTGTTCGCAGAGCTTCCATATAAACGTACATCTCATCTTGATGTTTGGTCGACCGCTCATACTCGTTGCCCTCAAGCTCGGCATCCTCTTCTTGGTCAATGAGCGACTGTGAAACAAGGTTGATCATAACCTCTCGCCATTCGATATACTGCTCAGCATGCTTGTTCAAAGAAGTGCACAAGTCTTCAAAATTGTTGAGTAGTCGATAAGATTCAAGCCCTCTGTTGTACAGGTGGGGTTTCATCTTTGGAATTTGAACAAACTGCTTCTTCTGCGTTTTCTCCTTGATCATCTTCATGTATCGCTCAACCTTCTGAGAGATGTCGGTCAACATCTCTTTACGGATGATCTTAGCCGCCTCATAGCCCTCCTCTTCTTTCTTCTCAAGCATCTTGAACTCGTCAGACTCGGGCTGAGTAAGACTAGTGTCGCTTTTGATCTGGAAATACGCATTTGCAGTGAAGAAAACGGCAATATGTTGCACCTCAAGAGCCGCGCGCAACCTCAGTCGACATTGACCAATGCGACTGTTTTTATCTGCTTCTTCATTTTCATCATCGCTTATCTCTTCTGACGGATCTTTCGAGCCATCCTTTATAGCATCTTTGAGAAGTTCTTTTTGCAAACTTAGTTGTGCTCTGCCTTCTTCAACCAGTTTGGTAGAATGCTCCAAAGCTGCCTGCCAGATAGATAGGGCCTCCTTTCGACGCTTAGCGTTCTCCAGAAATTGCCCCCGGCGGAGCTGCGACAGGAGGAGAGCTCGCTCCTCGGCGCGGATTGATGTGTCGGTATTTTCAATCATAACCTCAAGAACTTCATCAACGGTGCGCAATGGCCCACTTCCGGCACCCAAAGCCCTGCGATTGCTGCCACTAACTTCTGGATGAAGGCAAGTCTGACGGAGTCGTGTTAGCCAAGAACGCATTCGTTCAATTATGCCGGGATCTTCGGGATTCCAGTCACTGCTGAGCGGTGCACCTGTCGCGTCGAGACCGCATTGTTCACACATTTCCTCAAAGAGTTGACCATAATGTTGCTCTTCGATAGCTGTGAATGGGGTAGTGATGACGATTCTCTTCTGTTGTGGCAAGCGGAGTTCATCCCGAACACAATCCTTGGTGTGCCGAAGGGCAATTTTCTGGATGATGTGCACTAAAACTGACCCAAACTTGGAATACAACCGAGTCCACAATGGATTGGAATGGCAAAATGGGTAATATCGAAGGAATAACAGAAGACCAAACAGGTCATCGATGTTACGCCGAAGAGGTGTGCCCGTGACAGCCCAAGCATTGACTCTAGGTATCAAGCGCGCCACCTTGGCTGCATTACTGACTCCACTCTCAATCATTTGGGCTTCATCAAGGCAAACCCGCCACCATGAGATTCGGACCAACGGTGTTTGACGAGCTTCGAATCTCTTTTTGTGGCGCAGGCTTCGCTTTGGGGCCGTATTGGTGTAATGCACCTCCCTAGAAATCACGTTATACGTGGTCAGAACAACATCAAACTCGGAAAGTTCTTCGATGATCAGATCATCTGATCCTTCTTGGCCACGCTTTATTCCTGTGTAGTGATGCACGCGTAGCTCTGGAGCATGCTGCTGAAACTCCTGTTTCCATTGCTCGAGGATTGCGGGGGGAGTGATGATCAATGTCGCTCCTGATGCTCTCAATCCGTCAGGATCCAGCTTCAGCTGAATGGGGCGTCGATTTAAGCTAACTAGCGCAATCATCTCGACAGTTTTGCCCAATCCCATCTCCTCTGCGAGGATTCCACCTTTGATATTATCTGCTGCATCATCTCCCCATGCTGAGAGATCTGTAGTGATTATCATAAAAAGATGGCTAAAAAAGCAGATTCGTCCATCCGCATCTTTCATCTGCTGAAACGATGCTGGAAGGCCACCCGTGGAGGGTTTACTGATGGGAGTAGGACTTCCATCTGACTGGAGCTCCATTCCTTCTCTCTGTAGAAGCCATCGAACGGCTCTCCTCTGAAAAGGAAATAGCTCACAAACTAGATCTGGACATTTGATGTCTGCTGATGTTCTTTCAGTCTGTGGGGGAACATGAACACTGTCATAAAATCGTCGAGGGGACCAAGTCTGAGAAGAGCCAAGTAGCTTTTCACGAAGTAGACGTTTCGTGGAGACCCCCTCAGGAGGGTCAAAAGCTTCCTGCAGAGCGTACTTCCCGAAGACATGCAAAATTGGATCTCGAAGGTGCATAAGATCCGGGATGTCCAGTGAATCTTTCCAAAGTATGTTTACTTCTAAACAAAACAAATTTCTATCAGATCGAGATAGAGTGGCTTGATAGCATGCGGTTGGAGGTCCATTGGAGTACCTGTCCGCGGAAGAGAGTCTACTTGCAAGGTTGAGCTGCTGGAACAAGCTGCGTAGTCTTGATTCGTCGAAAGTGTGTTGTATAATTCCTTCCCCCTCTATTTTTTCTGAGCCGACCGTCCTTAGTTCGAGTGTGTAGGAAGCATGGTTGACTGAGGTTTGATCCGTGGCCGAGAGTGAATTGCCATCGATCGAATGAATGGGTATGACCCCAAGAAGAACAGGAAGTCGGCGAGAAGGATCTATTGAGCTTTGAAAGTCATCAATGTTCGATTGAGAGTCACCGGTGAAGATCTGAAGTAAAAGCGGCAAACTGTTAGCCACTTGTTCAGGCACGGTGGTCACTCGAACACTCACCATGCGCAAAGCCAGCCGAGCCAGTGGGATGTATCCCAGTGGTGTTCCATTTGAAGAAAGACCCAGTGTCTGAGCCAAGTTGGCTACAGTATACTTGGAGACCTTGCGACGCTTAGCGGGGTGCTCTTCATAATCAAGGATATCGGTTTGCTCAAAAGCGGCGAGCAGTGACCGGGGGGCTGGATCTAGATCGAGGGCATGTTAGTGAACCGACTTTATTGTGGAGTTTTAGTGCTTGAGCAATCATACTAGGAAGGATAACGTCTTCTAAAGCCACAACCATCGTACCATCCCACCTGGATCTCAAAGTTTGCTGTTTGCGCAAGAGAGTGATCTGAGAAAAAGCGCGCCATTGGATCCGCGAACCGTCATATCAGCTTATCGTATACCATCACGTGGAGATAATACAAACAATCCCCACTTGACAGCGTCATTGGCCCACTTCTATAGATACAAAGATCGACTGTAGAACAGCAAGAACAAAACAGGGAGCGAATCGTCCGTGATGTATGAAACCCTTTATTCTTTAGGACCGAAATAAAAGATGTCACAGATGATGAGGCCTCACAATAGATCTAAGCCGCAAGGCTGCCCGGCCCTCTACCTAGCATACTCCTTACGCTGCCTCTTCCCAGTGGTCCTGCATTATGGGACTGAAATGAAGACTTCTCCCCACTGCTAGGCTGGCTGTCATAAACCACATTGCCCCCAATTGCCCGAACAGTTCTTGAATATTCCACTCCATTTGCCGTGCTCTGGTACTCATCTAGTGTGCTGCCGGTAGAGGTTGTGCTTTCTCCGGAAAATGCCCCGTAGTATGCTTTTCCAGACTGAGTTGTATAAAGCCGCGAAGGCCCAGAAGCCATGGTATATGTAGATATACCGGGCCCACCAGTAGACTCGATCTCAAGGCCACGCTTCATCCAGGAATCAATGGTCTCTGAAGTATCGGTGAGAGTATAGGTTGCATTAACCAGCAAAGGGTAATTGAAGGTGGTCTCATTAGAGCTCGAGTTTTCGCCGAGTTTAGCGATATTGTTCTTGCCTGAAGTGAGCTGCCTGTTGACTTGACCGAAGCCAGCTTGGTTGACGTATCCATAATTGTAATAAGAGAGTGTCTGTGACCAGGCAAACTTAGAGGACGTGGACTTGAATGTCCTCTCTGCGACCACCGAGTATGATAGGCTTTCATTTTCCACAAGGTTTCGTGTTATGGTAAATTTGGGCTCAGGTGATTCCACGTAAGGGGCGGTGGTATCTCCAGTGGCAAGAGCTGAGGTGTTCTTATCATCGGTATAGAGAAAAATGTTGCCGGTGACCACCCAGTATGAGTTCACTGTATTCGCAAGCGTGGCAACACCCCCACTGGAGACATTGAGACCGGTGACTCTGATCTCAAATGCATGTTCTTGACCATCTTGTACCAGAGGTAAGAATGGCGAGATGTCGATTTCTGGTTGCCGAAGGTCAAAAGCATCGATGCCAACAACAGGATGCCAGAATCCCGGTGCTACACCTCCGGTGAAAATGATGGGGAAAGGCCAAACAACCCCCGCAAGGATCCCGTCAATGTAGAGCTGAATCTCTCGGAACGGTGAGAATCCATAAAATTCTCCTGCGGTATCTTCAAAATCCTCTGAATCCTCGGTGAAGACATTGGACCACCAGAATTCTTCCTCAGACTGCCCGCATGCAGAGATTGACACAACAGCCCGAGATGCCGCAGCTGGGATCTTGTAAGACACGGTCGTATTGTCCGTTGGCACTGTGAAGGAGCTGGATGAATTGGAAGACGACTTCCTGGTCGAGAGTGGAAGAATGATATCGGCGGTTCTAGCATTGTTCTCGTACGAGAAATGCGCCGTCAAAGTCACATTGTATGGGCCAGTATAAACATCAGTAATGATGTTTCCCAGGTCAAAGATCAGTTTCTGAGGCTCTTGCCACAAGGCATTGTACTGAGACATTTCCTTAATGTAGGTCCACACAATTCCAGTTGAAGTGGGTTCGGCGGTTGAGGTTCGGAATACTTCTGCGTCTCCCAGATACATGAGAGCTAAGCGATCATATTGAGTGCCACGAGAAGTGACGGTCATGTTTATGCGGACAGTATCAAATTTGCAGCTTGGGGGTGTATAGCTTCCTAAAACTCCAAGATTAGAGCCAATTTATGAGATATAACAGAAGTCAGGTTAATCTTACCGACATATGGAACGCCGTAGCTTTCAGCAAACTCATAGTCCATCAACAGCACATCGGTATCACAGCCACTGGCTCCATGAGAGGTAAATGACACCGGTTGATATACTTGGAATACCTCTTGGAAGCCTGTGGCATTAGAAGTGTCTTGGGAAGAGCGTTCCACAAGTCGAGCCCGGCTGGGAGAAGATGACACCCGTGGGATATGTCCCAACAGAAGCAACGATGATGAAATTAATGACCACATTGTCATTGGAAGCTTCAAGTATAGCTTGCTATTTTGTTCTTGTGTTTGAAATTTCCGTTGCTGTTTGTGCACCGACGATGTTTGTATACTCTCGAGCTTCACCAATATCTAATAGGCTGCTTAGAGGACAACCGGAGCTTTATTCTCAAAAAACGAAAAGCTTGGTATTGAACAAAAATAAGGATATACTGCAGGCCACGTATAATTAATAGGTCCCGTCAACGGGCTTTGGGAAGGGTGACAACGAGGGGCAGACACGCTAGTCTAGCCCGATTTATTACAATGAGGAGAAAAAGGCACCGTTTCCTGGTTAGTGGAGACTACAAGTTGTGTTCTGCAACATGCAACACTAGTAGATCATGCAGAGGCCGCGTTTACCCCTGAAGATAAGGGGCGCCCATCGGAGCTCCGGACAGCCGTTTCGGCATTGTCTCTATTCAAGACCATAGCTCCAATCATGTTCAAAGCTGTGACAACTCAAGCTCGCCTGATAGATAAATATGATTGAACCCCCGGTGGTATCAGGAAGATAACATGGAAAAAGCTGTCTAGTACTTCCGGGTAACCGGACAATGAGTCCTAGTCTCCGCACAATTGCATTATTCCACAGATACCAATTTTAGTAGCTTTGTGAAAATGAACAGACAAAGTTGATCAGGTATCTACCCGGTTTCATCCCCCATTTTTGAAACTTAATAAGAATAATGAAGACAAAAGCAGGAAAATCGGTTACTCCGAATCTGTCATATAACTCAGCAAAGCGACCTCGTAATTTCGTGCATTTCATAGCCAGAAATAGACGGTCCTATTTTCCATGAACAGTTATAAGCCCAGGTTATGTGCTAGTATTCTGGATTTTGGTTATTGAATTGAGAGACTATAGTACAGTCCAGATCCAACAAGCAATTCTTTGATTTGAAATAGCTTGACGAGGAGAGAGAGATTTGTACAAGACAAAAGAAAAAGAAAAAAAAGACCGATGCCGGAGACCCATGTTCTCGTTTAGATGAAGCCAAGCAGAAAGAAACACTCCGTAGCCATGCATGTTCAAACCGAGAAATTTTTACATAAATAGACGCCAAGCACCAAGAATCAGAGCAGCGGTACCAGTGCAGACACCCCTGTAGAAGTCAGCATTAATCCACGAGCAGATAGAGGAGTGCGGGGATCATACATAAGCCACTGCAGAGTGGAGAATTTGACAGCCTCAACTCGTTCCCTTAGACCCGCCACTTCCTGCTCAATTCGTGTTTCGGTCTCCTTGATCCGCATCTCCTGACCGTTCGCCTCTTCGCGAATCCGGCCCTTCTCGAGATTCAGGTCTAGACGGACCGAGGCTTGTGTTCGACCAATTTCATCCCGCAGGCGCGAATTCAGCTTGGCCAGATCGGCGGAGATTTTCTCGTGAGATGAGCGAGTAAGCTGGGCCTCCGTTGAGTCGGCGTTCACCAGTTCAGAGCGCAGTTTGGCGAAGTCGACCTTTTGAGTGTAGGTCGATCTTTCCGAATCTATCAAGCTATGGATTAGAACATGGGAGCCATGAAGACAGTTAAGAGTCACGAACCTTCTCGAAGCACCATAGTCCTTGTCAGATTTTGAATGGACTCTTGGATGATATCGTTCAATACACGCATCATGGCCACGGCCTGCTCCTCGCTGAACCCCTCGGCCTGCAGCCGCTTCACAAACTTCAAGGTATCGAAATGATGATCCCGGGCGCGAATGGGTGTCGCATGGAAGGCACGCTGGGCAGGCTTGAAAGCTGCGACGTAGACTCCATTATGACGAACAGGGCTACCGAGGGATTCGGGTGGCGGGCGTGTCGCAACTGGAGCGGAGTATGGCCGTATAACGGTAGAAGCAAAGTGAGAGTCTCGGATAGATGTGGAATAGGCTCTTGAAGCCTGGAATGAGGTTATGGAGTGAGTTTGTTGGTTAAGGGGGCTCCGGCCCTGAAGATGTTGCTGGCGCCTGGTCGCAAGCGCGGGGTGGTGATAGGAAACGGTCGGTCGGGACGATGAGCTGTTCCATGAGAGACGAGGCAGGATGCTCCTAGGCACCTCTGCGACCTGTTTTTGAGCCGGCATAACGCAGATTTGCAAAATGTGTAGAAAGTGTAGAAAGCAGGGAAGAGATTGGAACGGAATGACTAAAAAGGGTTCCGGAAAGATCGACGGCTTCCCCGAATCCGGCCCCGCATATTCTCGGGAAACTCCAAGTAGATCGAACCATTTGTAAACATACATGTTTTTCTTTTTCAATTAGATATTATATGATAAAAGATATATTAGAGATTCAAAGCTAGGTCCAACTCCACATGCATACGCTATTGCAACAATCAATTCTTTCCCAGCGGCTCGGTTCAAAGATCAAAGATCTCCTGTAGCTGCTTCATGGTATCATCAGGGCCCTCGACTGAGTGACCTATGGTGCGGGAGTCGGAGTAAATCTCATAGTCATTGCCTCCAACAAAACACTTGTCACCGAAGAAGTGAATATTCTTGTACTCGGTGCCAGTGATGTCCTTCTCAGCTGCAACATGCTGCAGGCAGTAAGTCTTATCCCAGCCAGTAGGGAAGACATCGAAAGAAATTTGACCACCGATGGAGAAGCTGTGTTTCGTCAGCTCAGCAATGTACTCGCGGTAGGTATTCATTTTCAGGTGTTGAAGACTTACGTGAGACCATAGTCCGGGAACTGCTTCTTCAGGGCTTCCACCAAATCCTTCCGAATGTTGTGAATCTTGTCATAACTAATACAATTGGTCAGTCAGATTATTTATAAGTCCCTAGTGGAATATAGGGCTCAAAGGAAAGCATAAACTCACGCCTCGAACTCGTCTCGTTCCTCGATACTGGCGTTACGTCCAATAGGGCTGACATTGATCATGCCATTGCGGAACTCAATAAAAGTACCACGCTTCTTGGGCAGCTTCACTTTAGAGATGTAGCTCAGACAGAAGTCTGCCAGCTCCTGGTATTTCTCCTCCCCAAGCCATTGGATAAAGCTGTTGCTGGAAAGCGGTTTGCCCAAGCGGTAGGCAACTAGACCGTTCTCGGGGAAGCAGAAATCAAACAGAGTAGTAACATCGACGCTGGATGAACCCAGCTGCTCCTGCTGCTTTACGAAATTGGAACCGCCCACCTACACGACATTAGGGAGGCGAAGGTGAGATATGGAGGAAGAAAGTACGGACGTAACCAATTGCACACTTGTGACGGAGGCGCGAGAGCAGCTCTAGCATCTCTGGAGTGACAGTCTAGGAGAAAGGGTCTTTTAGCATGTATTTCAATCTGGCAAGAATGATTCTTCTGTACTCGTCTGGCCTTGGTGAGAGTCTCGTCAACATCAAACAAAACAATGGTGTCCTTGAGCGGACGGGCCTCCAATGGTGGAAAAACACTGGCGGCGGTAGTCATGCTTGTTAAAGAATATGTGTGAAAGAATATGAAGACGGATATTCGATTAGATAGAAATCAGACATTCGGAAGCGCAAAACCGTGGCGATAAACGTAGAGTTGAGGGTTCCTGACCGCAAGCGGTGAATACGAGTGTGGATTGACGATTTAGTCCAAAGCCGGTCCAGACCAAAGACTTGAACCATAATAATATTTCAGTATGAACACTCTGTCAAGATGGTAAAGTGTGGTAGAGTTTAACTGAGCGCTGTGTTTTATGGATCTATGGAACGATATTGTGTCACTATGACTTGGCAAGGGATCTGCATGTTCGATAAGAGATTATGCGGATGGAGGCTTGTACTGCAACATCAATAAATCATATCCTTGATTATATCTTGATTTACATATCTATGTACTTCATCTAGCTACTAGATGCTAAAATTATTCAAGTCGCATAACGCATTTCCGAGCATCTCAAGGTTCCATCCAGTTTCCACCCAGTTCCCATGAACCTCTCACGGGAGGCCACGAATAACAACGCCAAATTTCGAATACAGAAACGAAACAAATACCCAAGCACCATCGGTCCCTTCAGTGTCCCATAGCGGACTGGAACACCTTCGCAGCAAGTTCACTCAAGAGTTGGGTGCGGTTTGGCTGTGGAAGGTCCAGGAAAACCTCATAGACACTTTTGCCCTTGGCGTCGCGGACTGCGCCTAGACGATTACCTGCGACAGCACCAGCAAGGCCACCAGCAAAATTGCCCACGATGAAACCGAGCGCACCGCCACTCACACCACCAACCACGGCCCAAAACCGTGAGGTAGGGCGCGACCTTTGACCATTCTCTCCGTCTTCGGCAAGCCCCTCTTCGCGCAACATCTCTTCAAACACTGAGCCAAACTGATTAGAGTCACGCTCCTCACGATCTTCGCGATTCCCAAAGCCAAAGCTAGACCATGGGAATCCACCGGCGCCGCCCTGGGGCACTTCCTCGTCGATGTCCTCGGCCTCATATGCGCGGGTAGCATCATATTCCCGTCGCCGCCCCGGATCCGACAGCGTATAGTAGGCATCGTTGATCTCCTGGAACTTACGCGTCCGAGCGGGTCGTTCAGGCGAATCCGCAGGGACTCGATCAGGGTGGCATTTCAGCGATTCTCTGTTTCTTGGTTAGCATGGACTGGAGAGAATGACGAGAATGCGACTTTGCAGTTTAAAATCTGTATGAACCTTTTATATGCAGTACGGATTTGTTGCTGCGTGGCATCTTGCGAGACGCCAAGGATCTTGTCTGTATGGAGAGTAAGTAGTCATATTCAGTTGTGAGGGGCAGATGGTCTTACAGTAATCAGGGCTTTCTGTAGCGCAGGTAATTTGGATTAGTTTGGTTGCAATCCCAGCGAAAATAAAGGTTACCTACTTGACATGGTGATGTACGTGATACAAATGATCAAAGTAGATTATGGCAGAAGAACCTGTGTATGTTGAGATGGAGCGCAACGCCTGTGACGTAGTCATGGCCTGAGGCATGAACATGTGAAACCAACACGAATGACACCTCAGGTGTCTAATACAAGGCCCCTGAACACTAAAATGGACTAAACAGTTGATTCGCTGTGTCTTCCCCCCAGCCACCTGGTTTTCTCCCAGGAAGATTTACCATTGCTTTTTGTGTACTGTTATTTGCTCCCCTGGATTTTGTACATTCTAGCTTGGTCAATTGAATTGACATTCCCCTTCTCCAACCTGCAGAGCAGATCGTGAGTGGAGTAGATACACGCAACGGTCTCGGGTCGAGACACACAGATTGCGCCTCCTGCAGCTCCTAGCGGCTGAGCTGCATCTCTCTCATTTTTTGACTCTCGTTGCCACACAAGAGGCAAAAGCATTTTCAAGAAGAACCGAAAGAAAGTCTTAATTGCTTTCATCCTTGAGGTTGAATTCTATCGTGAACGATCTGTTTACACTTCCCCACAATCCGTCCGATAAAGAGACATCTGTGTTACCCGGCTGCGCACGAGCCAGAGATCAGGGACAGATCCCCGAACACATAGAAAATGGGTTGGTTTGATGGACCTTCGTCCAAAACCTCAGTATCATCGAATGGCTTCACACGCCGACACACGAGCTCTCGTGCGAGCTCACGCTCCCGCACAGGCTCCCCGTCTCGCAAATCAGGCTACTCAACCTACCATAGGGGCCACTCTGCGCCGTCGATCTTCAGCCTAGGCCGTGGTGGAGGAGGAGGCCGCTCCAGTCCCTCGGTTTTTTCAACCTTCTCGTCCTCATCGCGTCGGGCCCGGCCTCGTGAGGGATTTGTGCAGCGCATGATCCGCTCGATCAAGAAGCTGTTCCGTGATATCTACCGTTACGCCCGCGAACATCCTATGAAAGTGCTCATGCTCGTCGTCCTCCCTCTCCTCACGAGCGGTGTTTTGCCCAAGTTGTTAGCGATGATCGGCATCCGATTGCCACATGGAGTCATGGGGGCTCTTGGAGGATCCTCCTCCGGGGCCCGTGGAATGGGGGGAATGGAGAGCACCGGATTGTCGGACAACGTCAAATCGCTAGTGAGCCTGGCCAAAATGTTCGCCTAGGCGACATGGGTGCTCCCATGACGAAATTTGAACCCTCTAACGACTATGATGATATACCTTTACCATCTCGTTTTCATTTGTACGCCTCGATTTCCTTTTCTCTGTGACTTGACCTTGTGATGATTCTGTATGTATTTGGGAGGCTCGCTGGAATTCCATCGAACAGTATTGTTCTTGTTTATGTAAGGCAATGAGGTCTGTGGAAAAGACAATTGAGGACTTCAGAATAGAAATTGAGAAAAGAAGACTAGAAGTCTAGGAGTAGCATGCTCTCCCTTTAAATATTTAAATGCTGGAGTCGGTGAAGTATCGGTACCCAACGGTGGATAATGGCCCCGTTGGACTTCCCTACATTGGACTAGGGGGACTCTGTGGTCGACTCTGACTGGCAGCCCTGCATAAACAGGGCGAACAGTGGAGATCTGATTGCTGGGATCATGATCAGGCCTTGATCTTACTATTCAAGTAATGTGATTCCTACGGCAAGTCGGTGTAGCGTAGATTCTATTGATTCACACTTCATCTATTCAACTTTTTTTCAAACAGAGGGTAGCCGGCTGTGACACCAATAAATAATGAGCCGAGCTTCAAATCATACCCTCATACCCTGAGTAACAATGCTCGCATCGAATCTCAATTATGATCGCTTATTTCCACGTCGGCGGGTCGAGCGTCCATTCGCAGTCGCAGTGGTCTCGCTGGCCTCAATCTCCTCAGTGTCCCCAGCTTCCTCAATGATATCCTCCTCAGCAGGAGAACCCAGAACTCGGCCAACAGTCTTACGGAAGCACCAAATAGGGAGCTTGCAGACAACAGTGTCTCGGAAGGAGGGCTTCTGGATCTCATCGATATCCAGTAGGAATTCCTGACGCTCACCTTCGTCATTGACCTCTTCCAAGAAAACATTTCCAGTCGCCTCAACAATCAAGACTTTGCCATTCTCCGCCATAACTCGCTTGCGCTCTCCAGTCGAAACCACAGTCTGCTCAGTAGGGGTGGAAGTACCCGAGCTACGAGCCGGTGCCCGACCACTCTTCTTCTCCTTGCGGTTCTCCTTATCCATCATTCGCTTCTGGCGACGGTTCACCGACATGGCCGTCGGCTCGCCCTCAGAAGAGGGAGCCGGGGCAGATGAATCGATCGAGTCGATACCAGGGATACCCCGAACACCCATCTCATCTCCATAGGCGGCCCGACGCGCCTGGCGAATATACCGGTCCACAAACTCCCGCTGCCGCTTCCAGGCCAGGATCAGGGCTCCATAGTGGCCGGCGCCACCAAACACCAGGAAGAGACCAGCCAGCACGGAACCAAGACCGGGACGGAAGCGAGTGTAGTAGTAACCGGTACCTCTCCACAGGGGGAAGCCATTCTTCAGGAAGTGATCATAGCGCTGACGACCAGGACCACGTAGAACATTGGCCACGGTGTTCAAACGTGCAGAACGGGCATTGGCGTCCTTGACAGCGGCTTCGATCTCGCGTTTGGAGGGGCTGGAGTTGACATGAACACCTGGCTGGGAGGACTTGGACTTGGACTTATCGGTGGCATAGTTGGCCACAAAGGCGCGCTTGACCTTGTCAGGATGGAGAGTACGTGATTTCTGGCGGTGAGCCTTGGTGATTTGTTCGTGGTTGGCATTTGGACGGATGCCGAGGAAGTCTGAATCGAGAGATCATTATGAGAGGAATTCTTTTTGGTCTGCCAGCATTGGCCCATAGGAAAGGATAGTGATCACATACCGTAGAAGGTCACGTTGGCACCTTCTGCCGTGGCGACTTCATCACGAAGACGGAAGATCTCATAGTCTGTTCAAAAAGTAATTCCAGGTGATTAGAACTCGATTGGAGGGAACAAAGCGCAGGATGGTAAATTTACCTTCCTTAGTGAATGCAGCCACCAGGCCCACGAAGACCAGAAACAGGGAAAGAATGACAGGCTTCATGGTTGAGAGGTGATGGAGCGGTCAACCCTGCGTGGCCCCTAAAACACTGAAATAGGGAAAGGTGGCTCGTGTCAAGGGCACTACGGAGTCCAGTACATGCAATATTGTGGTTTTCGAGTATTGAATTCGACTGGGAATCACAATTTTTTTGGTTACTTTATTTGGGATTGTTCATCATTTAAAATCAATCTATCATATGCCATGATTTTTTCCAATTCTTTTTCCAATTGTTGGTGGGGAAATATGCATTTCCTGTAAGTCGGACGTGGCCCAATCGACTGCATATGAGAGAGAGAGATTTCGAATGACTCAAAGTGAGGGGAAAGTTCTACTCGTCTATTTATAATTCCCCTCTTCCTGGATCTGACTGATGTCCTTGTTCTTCCTTTTCACTCTCCAAAGGAAAAGTGATCTATGGGCTCGAAACGCATAAAGTCATGATGGATCCAATCCGGTGAATTCTGTTTTGTCCGCGAACAGTGATAAACAGAAAACAGGCTTGATCAAGAACCAGGCCCAATATCAAGAAAACTGATCTTTCTCTCTCTCTCTCTCTCTCTCTCTCTCTCTCTTCTCTTTCTCCATCCCCATCTTTCTTACCAAATGTACTATTCTTAGCCAAAGCGGACAAATCAAAAGGGGGCTAAAAAAGGCAGAAAATTAAGTGACTGCTGCCTTAGTGTTGACCCCTTCCGCGCGACTTGGCATCTTCGGAAAATCATCAACTTTCCACTTTCCACTTTCCACTCTTGTCACTTTGACCACTTTCCTCCCTCTTTTATCCTCTTTCCTCGTATTTTGCGTCAATCTCTCTACACAATGGCCATTCAAATTCCTATCGAGGCGATCACTTCGCGCTTTGGTGACCGTTTCAACAACATCCGCAGCCAGTCCCTGACCACCCGCTTTGCGAACTTGCGCCCCATCTCCGAATTCTTCGATGTCAAGCGCATCTCTAAGCCGGCCAACTTTGGGGAAATTCAGAGCCGTGTCAATTACAATCTCTCCTACTTCTCCAGCAACTATGCCGTCGTCTTCGTCATGCTCAGCATCTACAGCTTGCTGACCAACCCCGTACTGCTGTTCGTCATCATCCTCGTTACCTGCAGTCTCTACGGTATTGGCAAGCTCGGCGGTCGTGATCTGGATCTTGGCTTCCGTCGCTTCAACACTTCCCAGCTCTACACCGCGCTTCTGTGTGTGGCGGTGCCCCTGGGTCTCTGGGCCTCACCCTTCACCACGGTCCTATGGCTCATTGGCGCAACTGGTGTGACTGTCTTTGGTCACGCTGCATTCTTAGATAAACCGATCGAGAGTGCTTTTTCCGAGGAGGCGGTCTAGGTGGTCGGCCGCGAGCTCCTTACGATATGCCCCGATGGGGAAGACCACCGGGGGCACGAATGGGGAGACACAATGGGGGACGAGCGCAGTGGGATGAGGATAACCGAGTGAAGGAGATTATAAGTGAGGACGACGATGTGTTTGGACGGGAACTGGTGCGAAATGGTCGCTACCCGTGGCAGCAGGAATATGGAGGCCGGGTGACGCGCAGGCGGTTGGAGTATGAGGACCTGACTGATGAGACGGAATCGGTGCTAGATGGAGGGGACTATGATCTGTATGAACATGGGGACAGTACAGTGGCCTATGCAGTTCAGCTGGCCATGCGAGACAAGGAGGATCAACTGGTGGACACGGCGCTGGAGCGGATTCGCCGTGCCCAAATGCTAGGCAAGAAAAACGTCCGGCTTTCGAAACGGGAGCTGGCCGCATTGGAGCGCAAGCGTCAACAGACAGACAACACGAGCGCAGGCGCAAGTGGTACTAGAACGGCGCGCAGTCGACAAGGGAGTGTGAGCAACTCACGGCCATCGTCCCGACGAAACGGTCACGCTGTACCCCCGGACCAACAAGCAGGGGCATATCCACCCTTCGCGCCTGATGCGGGATGGAATCGAAATGCCGGCCCCCATGGTCGACCAACAAGTTCATCATCGACTAATCGTCCGCGCACCCCGACGATGCAATCCTTGCGCCCGCAGCAGTCTAACTCCCCGCTCCGACCGCCCTACTCTCCGTTCACCGAACGTGTACCTCCCAATAATCGTCCTCAGTCGATGCATCCCTCGGCCATGTACGCCCGACCTTTGCCAGACGACCCTAACTGGGCGCCACCGTATTACAATCCTATGCAAATGAGTCCGTATGCGGTGGAGCAGCCTCCCTTTCAACCTCAGCTTCCTACCGACCTTCGCGTGGGGCCTCAGAGTCGTATGAGCTATGCGGCGGGAATGTCCCCGATTCAAGCCCAACACCGACAATCAGTCGACGGGCGCCAGTCAGGTACATCGCAGCCACAACATACCCCTCCGCCGGAGAGTGATGAGGAAGAATCCAGCGAAGAAGAGACAGGGAGTGATGAAGATTCAGATGTCCAGATCGTTAAAGTGGTGGAGCGTCCGCCTGGTTTTAAAAGGCGGCCTGTTGCTGGAGGTCGTCGAACCAGTTAAGTGGAGGAAAATGTGTCTCCTTACCGGGTAACTTCTTGAAGCGCTTTTCCATTCTTGTTTTTTTTTTATTCATTAGGGGTCTTATATTATCACCGGCGTTTGGTAGATCGAAAACGGGTCCGAATCAATAGATCCCATATTGTTCATATTCTTCATCTTGAGTGTAGATCGCGTGACAAGGTTCAACGGAATTTCAGGCATGAATGGCACAGCCTCAATATTGAATAATGCCTACGTTGAATGTATTAGTAGATCTCATGCTTTTTGCATCCTGTCCGAGTGGGGCCCATTACGTGCGGATTCGTGGATCCGTGAAAGACGTAGTGAATGATGCCTTGGCAGACGATGACGTCGATGCAAGTTAATTCCTTAAGTCCGCGCACCTTGCTGTGAACGACGGAAATCACTCCAACATATTCTCTCCTCCCAGGGCACTCGTTCCCACTCTTCTTCCTCTCCTCCTGGTCAAGGTTCTTCCTCGCGTTCCTCGTTCCTGGATTCCACATCCGTGCGCCACAGCCACAAATCCTTTCCCGAAAATCTTAAAAGCTCGGCGATCATTTGGAATGCGAGAGACTGGAGACACCTTGTATCAGTATTATTGATCAGGAATAACGTTCATAGTACGTTTGACGATATCTCTGCGCAACCTCGCCAACAGCGACTAGCGATTCGACTCGACTTTGGGGATATATGAGGCCACCGCTAACCTCCCGAATCCATTACAGATCTGAGTTCACAATCGTCACGCTGTAAAAGGCCCGCATTCTGCTGTCGCGTCGTCTCGGCACTGAAAATAAAACATACCCTCCCCCCCCCCCCCATCTTTCCTTCGTATTAGAAAGAGATAGAACACTCAAATCGCCACGATGTGGATTCTCTCGTTCTGGGTGTTTCCGGTCATCTCGGCCTGCATGTGGGTTGGTAAGTAGATGCCTGGTGCCTATTTTTACAGTGGCGTCCAAGATCTAATCAGATATCCCATTCCAGCCATGTTAATTGCCATGCTCGTGACATGGGTCAGAGATGGCGAACCCATCTACCCGTGTATGCTCAATGCCGATGGCTCCTCGGATGGCCAAACTGTTGCGTATGCATTTCCCTCGATGGATTCCAATAACCAAGACTAATGACCTCGATAGATACATCTCTGATGTGGGGGCCTATGGGGCACAGCCTCTGTTCATTACTGGTAGTGTGATTACCGTCGTCTTTCTGGATCTGGCCTTATTAGCTGAGCGTTGGCTGCGACACGCGGGTCAACTGGTTCCAAACAAGGGATGGTTTGACAAGATCTGCTCAATTCTCTCTATCTTCTTTTCCGTCGCCGGCGCCCTTGGTCTCATTCTGTTGTCTATTTTCGATACGGCCGAGTATCCGCACTTGCACGATGGGTTCCTGGTCATGTTCATGTAAGTCGATATACCCCACGATAAGAGGCTTTGACTAACGCAGGATATAGTGGGGGATACCTAATCAGCGCAATCCTGATCTGTGCCGAGTATTTACATATGGGACTCTTCTACCGGCCTCAGCACCGCATTCTTTTGGTCAGCTTTGCAATCAAGCTTAGCTTTGTGATAATTGAGATTGCCCTTGCCATTGCATTTGGTATTTGCATGGAGAGTGACGATCCTGCGAAGAAGAACCCTGGTGCCATCATTGAATGGGTTATTGCCTTCGTCTTCACCGGCTACGTTCTTTCTTTCGTGATTGACCTATTGCCATCGGTTCGCACGCGGAGACACCTGCCTCAGGGTGAGAAGCGGTCTGCCATGTCTCAGTCTCAGACTGATGATGATGTGCCGCAAGCCTCTTTGGAAGAGCCTCTGACCACTGACTCGGCCAACTACTACCGTGGCCAGCGTGTCTAACATTTATACCATAATGGATGATTCCTTATCTTCTCACGTTTCATGATTTCTTTTTTGATCATTTTCTGATTTGATACCTGTCTACGCGAGTACTTGTTTCTATCTCTCATATACGCCTGCTTAAGATGCATAATACCTGCTTTGCCATATATGAAATGTATATTATAATCAGAGCTTCAGCCTACATAAAAGGCGCATTCAATCAGTATCAGCGGTCCATCATTATCGTATTCATATCTACATAATATAAAAGTTCCATATCAATACAAAAGAAAGACCATATCCGCAAATTACGCCTATGATCTCCCAGGTCAAGCCCCGTATTAAACGAGTATCATCTGTCGTATGTGTTCTTGCATCTGTGCATTAATCCCAATTCCATTCAAATAACCCTGGACGCCACCAAATTTTTGTAAATACTCGGTCGTCGCCTCCACAAAGTCCGGTGGACAACGAGTATATTCCTCACCAAGACCCAGCGCACGAATTTCACGCATGCGCTCTTCAAATTCCGGCACGAGTTCCAGCTCAGACCGCGTATAGTCATCAATAATCGCAGCAGGAGACACAGTCTCGCCTGCCAACAACATCATCATTAAGATGATCAGACCCGTACGATCCTTGCCCTGTGTGCAGTGCACCAGGACCGGATACGCCTGGTCTTGACCAAGAAGTTCAAAGATTGATCGTATCTCCGCTTTACTGGCATCGAGCGTGTCTTGCGCGAGTCCTGTTAATCCTCGTGGTTGCATGACTTGCTCTCCCACCACACGGACCGCATCATTGCGGTAGCCCGCCGCTGCCATGGTGAGTACTTTTCTGTTTTTTTTATTAGCCTGGGGTACATACAGAGCGTGGGATGGAATCAAAAGCATACATATAATTCATCCAGTCTAGCTTCCATAATAATGTACGCTCAAGTCCCTTGCCAGTCAAACTGATCAAGCACCGTTGCGACTCTGGAATCTGCAGTAAATGCTCATCTGCATTGACTGGAACTGGGGTTCGAGTAAAATCAATCTCGGCATTTTCTCCTGAATTCGCATTCTCTGCACGACGTTTTCGAGTTGCCATTTGATGCTCCGTTCTGTATCGTTAGTAAGCATGTGTACTAGTTCGGTATTTGAAAAAAAAAAACCTGCTTACGTTGATCGTAAATCAATCACGGTAGCAATGTGAAACTCCTCTGCCATGCGGCGCGTATCTCGTTCTGACGCATCATCTGGCTATAATATCCCAGTCAGCTTCCATAGTTCCGCGGCTTTACAGTCGCCTGTTCTTCAAGCATGGGGATTGGAGTTTTACCCTGGCACTGCGAAAGAGTACGCCCTCTTTCAAAATCCTGGTTTCGACGTCAGTGGCCAGATCTCAGGGGTTCAAAAACGAAATACAAGAAGCCACGTACTGTGCACCACAGAACTGGTTGATGGTCCGGCCAACATCACGGAAGTTGATGATGTTGTCAAACGGCCGATCTGGCGAGTCTAAGTCGATACTAGAAGAGCGGGCCATGGATACGGAATCATTTACGAAGAAAAGAAGTTAAATGATTGAAGATGAAGAAAGACGCGGATACAAGAAGTGGAGACGCGTTTGTAAATGGCGGTGGACGTCACGTTGGGCAGGAAACCCACTCGCCCTGTTTCTGGCCTGAGCTCCTTGTTTCCCCGGGATCCACTCAAGCTCGTGTGATCGTCATTTGTTTACTTCTCATTTACAAGCCCATCCTATGCATATTGGCTTCGATCATTCTTCCACTGCGGCTGCAAATACGACCAATCCTGGTTAAAGTTGAATCCCGTGCGGTATGCGCCATACGCGCTCAACTCCACCTGATTGAGTTGGGCCCCCTCCTCCGTTAACGCCCACAAACTGATCGCCAAGCTATTTTCTCCCCGATTATTGATTACACCAGGTGGAAATGGGAACAAGGTTTGTGGACCTAGGTAAGGCAGATAATGACCAAACTGGTACCCGTTCATGAAGATTTGAACTACGGCCGTGGTATTGTCGGGCGCGCCAAGCTGCAGACCAATCGGGACATCCAAGTCTGAATCCAGATCCAGATCAAAAGTCGTGGTGTACCAGCGACCCTGAGCACCAGAGACACCATCCAGGGGGCTCGCTGTACCTGCAGATTTAGGCGGTGTGTAACCTGGGAGATGCCAGCCAAGGCGCTCTCCATGCAGCCCACCTTCGTTCATGGGGCCGCGAACTGGATCAATATTGGCTTCACCGCCGGCGTTGCCTTGGATACGCCAGGAGGTGAAGTTGGCGCCTGAAAGCGTGGCTCCGAGGATACCACGGGGGTTCTGAGGTCCATCTGGGGATACGCTTGCCTCGTCGTGGCCGGTATAATCCATCACAACCGTCAAGACATTATCGGTTTCGCGAAGGAGGGATTGGTTGAAGGTGAGGGTCGCGGTGGTCGAAGCGAGATCTGGATCGCCTAGGGCCCCACCCACGTAGGCTCCATTCATCCAAGCGGCCCAGCCAGACCCGGCGCCGTTTTGCACGGTCACACTAGCACCTGTGGCGTTGAGTCCATTGAATCTGCCCCGGTAAATCTTTGTTCCGGCGTGATAGCCGTAGTCACCGGAGTATAGCACCGGGAGCGTGAGTGGGACTACAGCATTGACTGTCGTAGTCTTATTGCAAATCACCCAACGCGAGTCGTCGTAGTCGGCCTGTATCTCGGGAAGGGTGTCTTGCGATTTCCAAGATTTCAAGGCTGGCAGGGATATCTTGGCAGATCCCACTCCAGGCGCAGTGCCGATGAGACTGCCATAGGCGGTCTTCTTCGTCGTAATCAACTTCCCATTCCATTCAATTTTAGTGACCTTTGAGTCACCAGTATACACTCTGCGGCAATGTTAGTATACAAGTTTTACACCTGCAAAAGGAGACTTACTCGATAGAGGTGGTATTTGCGTTATCGCCAACCAGACTGACGATTTTCCCAGAAATTGTTGCTTCACGGACCAGGTACGGGCCCAGGGCGAAGATATGCTCGCTCGGGGAGACATTGGGGTTTTTTGTAGTGGGAACTGCAAAGAAATTCCAAGCTGTTTCCGTCTCTAGGAGATAGACGAGAACGCCATTTGAGAATTGAAGAACTGTTGAACCATCTCCTTGATTATATGTATACTCTGTTCGATTATCCACTGTCGCAGAAGTCACATTGGTAGTGCCGTAGGTTTTGAACGTCAGATGTGCCGGTGGATCCACGAAGGCAAATATTCCCTTTTGCCCAGAGGTCATATAGAACACAATCACATCTTCGTCCAAGGTAGCGTAGGTGAGAATCTCCGCTGATGAGAAGAGCAAACTTGAAGCGTCACCAACAGCGTAATCTGTCACAATGATTTTGCTTTGCCGACCATCAAGTACAATATCTGGGATAGAGATGGCACCTGTGTATAGTTAGAAACCTAATCGGGGGTCTCAGCGGGGAAACATACCAGCTGAAGTATTGACGTTCAAAGAGAAGGTGGTTACATCTCGAGATGAACTGGTATCGTGTGCAACGACATAGAACCCCGCTTGAGTGTCCGGGTTGCGCAGGGCCCAAGTGAAGATGGTATCATCGCTCGTATATCCAGTGCCATTCCCTTCCATATCGGCCTTCAACAGACCAGATGACACACGAGTAAACAGGCCCAATAGCTTGGTCTGCTTGATCTTGTCGCGAAGCTCACGAGTCTCTCGCAGGGGTGCAGCATAATCGTAAGAAGTATAAACAACCGGCGCAGCACTGTGACCCCAATTGGTACCACCAAAGGCCATATATAAGTTTTGCAGCGTCACTCTCGAACCGATATTGTTCTTGTAGTAGACATCAACAAATTCTGGAGACTGTTCCTCGGCACATTGATCATAGAAGTATCCGCCCCAGGGCTGAAACCATCCACCCTCAAACTCGGGGAAGAACTCGGGCTGTGTATATGAGTAGTTTTGGAACCACTGGTAATAAGTGCGCACAAGATTAAATCCCGAGTCTGGATTGGTACAAGAAAGTCCACCGGGGTACGAATCCAATCCGTACACATCGACGGCACCGCCAACATCTTCATAGTCAGTCGACCAGCTCATATCACGCATACCCTTTTCATTGGAAGTGCTGGGAACAACAACGCCAGCGGTGCTGAAGGCTGCCTCGATTTGCTCCATGTATAGAACGAGGGTGTTGGTAGCCGAGTGAGTGGTTTCCTGAAGCTCATTCTCAATCTGATTCAAAATCACCGGTCCACCGTTCGTGATCTGATTATCTGCAATGATGGCGCCGACCTTCTCAATCCATGGATACCAGCAGTCATAGTAAGAAGTGGCACTTGTCCGCTCCTTTCCCATTTGACCGTTAGCTGCCCACAGTGCGAATCCTCCAGCAGAAGTTTCGCCGTTGATATAGGGTCCTGGACGGGTAATGATGTATAAACCGGCTTGCTTAGCGTAGTCGAAGACTCGCTGGATATCATGAGCGCCCGATTCAAAGTCAAACGTGCCCTCTGAAGCTGAATGGTAGCTCCAGAAGAAGTAAACTCATCGAATATTAGTCAAAGGCTAAAATGAAGCCCATAAGCTGATACACTCACTAGAAACCGCGTTAAATCCGCTAGCTCTGAGCTTCTGAAAGACGTCCAGCCACATCTCAGGCACTGGTAGCCGCATGTAATGGAATTCGCCGGAGAAGATGAACACCCTCTCACCCTTCACAGAGAGACTGTATTCGTCCCATGTTACCTCGGTTGTGTTGCCATTACTGGTCGCATAAACAAGTTGACTCGATATGGCCCAAAGAAAGAGCCACAGAACTTGGAGAGCACGCATGATTCGTAAAATCCTGGGATGTGATCCCACGATGGGTTCCAGCTTTGGAATTAATCCCCACAATATAAAATAATTCCCAATGCCTCGGCGATCGCGGTAGTATTACCCCGGTTGTAAGTTTGGACCCTGGGATTGGTGGATGTTTTCGCCATCAACCGTGACGCTTTGGGCAATTCTCCTGAAATTGCGGGGATTTGGAGCATCTGCACATATTATTCAACCGATGTTACTTCGGCTAATTATAGACCCTGGCAGCGGTGTATATAGAGTGTAATGAGGGGCATACTGTGAATAATGATTAAAGCATGCATAAGCGAGATTAATATACAAAATCGAACAACACTGGATGCCAGTAGAGCTCAGGGGCAATTTGGATCGTTCAATCAAAAGAAGCATCGTGCAATAATCATATACCGAGCACTAGAACGACAAACAAAACACCACCAGTCATAATTCAGAGATTTCAGAGGCGCCATAAGCTCATCGTACATAAGACCCAGATTCACAAAGCACCGGCAAAACTCCAAGCATAAATCACAAGAATATAATTAGTGACAAACGTTGATATCATGACAGATCTTCAGAAAATCTAGACTCCCGGCCGGCGCTGGCAGTCTCTCCAAGAACGGGTGGAACAGGAAGGCCCTGATCAACAGCACTGTCTCTCAAGCCTCGAACATCGGTGCCCTGGACCTTCGAGTCAGGAACCGTGCCGGAGCCATTGGTCTTGGATTCATCAGTGCGCGAAACACTCTTCAAGAAGGTCTTCTTGAAGCGTTCCCGCTTACTTTTCGCATGACCGTTGGTCGCAGGCTCGGCACTCCCAACCGAGCTGTCGCTGAATGTCTTTGTCTTGCCTACGTCGACACTACCATTGCGAGCGGGCTCACCCTGGTCGAGGTCATCTCCGGTGAATGGATGAGAGCTTAGAGCCGCTCCTCTAGACTCGGGTCGAGACTCAGGCTTCGCAGCCAGAGCAGCACCTCCAGAGAACCCAACTTCACTTTCGCTATTGAAATCTGGACCAGGCTGGTGGGGGTACACATGCACAGGCCCGCTTGAACGGCGGACCAATTGGTCCCGGAACCAGTTCCTCAGCTTTGAATCTGCTCGCGGACTCGTGATCGGCCGAATGTCATGCATCTGTGCTGGGCCAGCGCCAACCGCTGCGGCATCTCGTGGTGTAGTGTGGGATCGACTCATCATGGTGGGACGTTCGTCATACTCGGCAGGTTCGGTGATAGAGACTGGGGCTGCAATGGGGGCAGCAGTGACAAGAGTTGCCGGGCCAGCTACTTCAGGCGCTTCCGGCGCTTCGGGGGCTTGAACCATGGCAGCATTTTGCTTGGATCCTTCCGTGGGCTCGTGCAAGGGCTCTTGCACAGGCTCTTGCACAGGCTCTTGCTTGGGTTCCTGAATAGCTCCTTGCTCAGGTTCTTCCTTGGGCTCTTCCTTGGCTTCTTCCCCTGGTACGATACCAGCAGCCGTCGCGGTGGCCTCCTCTTGTGTTTCGTCCTTGGCTACTGCTTCTTCGTTGGGTTCTTCATGGTCTATGGTTTCCGGGGCCACAGGCTCCTTCGACGAACGCTTTTCGCGCTTACTCTGCATTCTCCACAGGAAGCCCATTAACTTGCTGTTTCGCTTCTCCTTGGTAGACCCTATTGCCGGAAAGTTAGCTCATAACCTGAGATCAAAGTGCATCCGCCACACTAACCCTTGTCACGCGAGTCTGCCACTCTAGTCATGCTAGCCTCACGCTCCCTTTCTATTGCGGCGTGCCTTTCTTGCTCCTCGGCATCAAGACGTGCCTCGAGCTCATCGGCCCTCTTTTGATCCGCATTGTCGGTAATCTCATCGAGTGTTGGTTGCAGACGGGAGCGTGCAACGGCTTCAACATCAGCCATATCCATATATTGGTGCGTTCCGATATTGACGCGGTTTCCGCGAGCAGTGTTCGCTTCCGCTGCTTCAGCTTCCCGGCGTACACGCTCGCGGGCGGCCTCATCCCATTCCTTCTGAAGAGACGGTGGTGCCCGGCCTTTGTCGGCATACATTTTCATCTCCATGCTCATCAAAGTCGCATCAACGTTGCGTTGTGCGGCTTCCATGAGCAACGCCCGGTCCCTGGTTCTCTTTTCGTCTACGTCATTCACCTTGGTCCGCAGGCTTCTCATTTGATTCCGAATATACCTGGACTGCTCGGCATCTACTTGGACTGAATCTGCATCGCTAGCAGTTCTCTTCCGACGAGTGGTCAGGCGAGATCGCGTAGGCTGAGGAGTAGTACCATAGTAGTTCTGCATCTCGGCCTGCTCATTGTGCATGAGAGCAAGTTTCTCTGCCGCCCTTTTCTGTGCCGCTTCCTGGAGGGTCATTGCGCGTTGGGCCGTGGATCCTTCAGTTCCGCCGATGGTCTTCGATCGAACTGGAACTTTGGGGTTGTTCGGGTCATACATCTCCTTAGCCATGGAGATAGCTGCAGCATGCAAGGAGTTCTTCCGATTACGCTCTTGTACCTCACTTTGCATAGGAGGGGATGAGGTATACAGTTTGGCGTTGACGTTGGCAAGGTGGCGGATTCGACTCGCTTCCATCGCGCTATCCAAATGATCGAGGGGCTCTTCATCCTCTATTTTGTTTCTATGCGACGCCCCCGCGGCCGATAGGGCGTACGGAGAGTCGGAGGTAACGACTGGCTCACTTGGTGCCGAGTCAGCACGCTTCCGGCCTGTTGCATAGGCACCCGTGGCGGCTCGGAGTGCCTTGTCCTGGTTACTGCGGGAGTGTTCATATTGCTGCGTCTCTCGGGTCGGCGACAAATTTGAACTCCTTTGTTCTCGAACGGCAAGAATGGCGGCGCCCAGTCCCTCGGAGCTATATTGGGAGCTGGGTTTGGGAACCTCGGGGGCCTTAAAGTCCCTCACACAATAGGCGGCCGTCTCGGCCTCGGTCAGTCGTCCCGGGCGCCATATTTCCACCGGTTTCCGATTTGCATGGGCAATCGCAGCTCCAGCCGAAGCGGCGCTCAGATTTGATGCGCCCTTTACTTGTTGATCTATTGCGACAAGCATTCTGGGTCAGCGCGGTGTATGATATCACCTGGTTGAAGGGGAATCGCTTACTATTAATATCAGATGCAGTCTTCTCGCGAACGGACGCCTTGCGTCGCGGCTGCACTGCATAAAGTGCAGCAGTAGCGGCTGTTTCAGGTACATAGTCAGCGGTCGCGACCAGAGCGGAACCGGTGGAGTTTAGTGACGATCACTCACCATCATCAGCCAGTCGAGCTGACCTGGGACCGGTCATTTGCGCAGTCGCCATGAGGAAACGTGCGATGGAGAATAGAGCTTCACAGAATCTGAAAGGAATCTAGAGGGGGAAAAGAGAAATTTAGTGGAAAAGCCGGAAGCTTCCTGGACCCCGTGACGTCGCAAATCGATGATTGCATCATAGCGAACTCAATGAATCAACGATCAACGTGGGGAAAGGCGGCTTTCCGCTTTCAGCTTCCCACTTGCTTCTTTACTCCTGGAACTTTCTTTTCCGTCGGTTTTTCTCCTGTTGCATTTGTATTTTCCATGATTCATGCGATCGATTCCGATCTGCCCCTTGATGGGCAGGGAGATAAGCGGTTACCTGAGAAGTCACGATGTGATCATATGCAAATAATGATGACGATCAGGGATTTTCCTGATCTCCACCAGAGCACAGCTCCAGCCTACGTGAAGCTCAGATCTTTTGGCGTTTCAAGCCACTTAACTCATGGTGGATTTACAGATCACCCCACTCCACCAGTTTAGTACAGCCTTATAAATCAGTCGAGCTGCTGTCTTGGCACTTCATTAGGGCGCATTTCACTCTTGAATGATTACGATCTTCAATTTTTCTGCCTAGATGTTTCGTAAATCTGAGCAATTGCAAAATGCGCTTAGCCTATGACCTTGGAGTTGAAGATTGGACACATGAACTTTGGAAGCGGACTAGGTCTTAATAAAAAGATCAGAATATATCAAATGTGCATGTTACTAGATTATTCTAAGGATGGCACTGTCCCTGACTCTCAGCTGGTGAGGTAAATCGTCGGCATCGATATATTTTGCCGACGGAAGTGGAGCCGTGCACGAATTTTGGCCGACTAACCCCCTAAAAGATGATCATGTCCTAGACTCACACCGCAAGTTGACACTGGGAATATCGCGTCAACCCGAATATCAGGAAGTCGAATTATGTCGATCTCTATAGCCGGGCCAGCTGCAAGAGTGCCATTGGCATACGAATTGTTAAGTGCATCGAGTAAACACGCACCAAAGCCGATCCAGAAACCGCCTATTCTTTTTCTTCACGGGTTTCTTGGCTCGAAACGAGAAAATAGACATGTGAGCAGGTAAGGTAAAGAATCTATATCATGCAGACCCGATGCTAATCACGTGTTCCCACTAAGACTACTTGCTAAGGACCTGAGGCGGGATGTCTATACCCTGGTAATTATTGATCTTGGACAAGATCCGATGCACACACTTAGAATATAATACTGACCAGAGATAGGATCTACGAAATCATGGGGACTCTGGCCATCATCCTAAGCATAACTATACTGAGATGGCTTTGGATGTCAAGTCCTTCATTGAAACGCATCAACTACAATGTCCGGCTGTGATTGGCCACTCAATGTGAGTAAGAGTGAACATCGGACCCTGACCCCTGAGTACTAAAGTCTTAAAGGGGCGCCAAAACTGCGATGACACTTGCTTTGGGCTCACCGAATCTTGTATCTGAGGTCGTCGCCGTCGACAATGGTCCCATTGAACTTCCTCTTGCTCCAGAATTCAAAGTTTACCTTGAATCCATGGAGAAGATTCATAGTATGCGTGTCACGACTCACCGCGAAGCTGACATAATTCTACAAGAATCTGTGACGGTAAGAACTCCAGGCCTGCCCGAATAGAAAGCTAGAGGCTGATCTTGCATACAGTCTCCATCAGTCAGATTATGGCTCTTGAGCAATTTCATCAAGGAGAAAAATGCATCTCATCTGAAGCTCAGACTTTCCGTGGATATCTTGAAGAACGCACTTGGCCCGTTGGGGGAGTTTCCTCATGCCACAGGAACTGGAAAATTCTCAAAGCCAGTTCTATTTCTTCGAGGTCTGCAGAGCCATTATATCCCCGAAACTGCATTTCCCTTAATGTCGACTATATTCCCTCGCTTTGAGACAGTCAATATTGATTGTGGACATTGGATCGTACAGGAGAAACCAGAGCAATTCAGGCAAGGTAAGTTTGCTATCTTTTACCTCAGTACTGTCAAACTACTAATGAATCGCATTAGCTGTTGTCCAATTCCTACAGAAACACAACTGAGCCTCGGTCGAAGATATTAAATTCCTGTACTTATGATGTTCGAGTGCATTTCTGCGGATATAAACATAGAGTAGCGGACTCGAAACTATAAGAGATACTCCATACACAGACTTCATCTTCATTCTACGAAACTCTCATAATTAGTGGCAGGTAATCATTAACCCATGAACCGAGTGAGCAATCAAAATAGCAAGGAGACAAGGTCAAAGTTGCTTGCTTCCGAGATTCAGTATACGAATATTCCGGTGGAAGGAAAAAATGACTCAATGAGGACCGTCTTTGACTCAGTGGAGCCTCGCAAAGCCTGCAACAAGTCAGTAGAAGCCCTTATATTTGGATTACTGATACCCAGAGGATCCAGTGTCAAAATTCTGATTAGTTGGTCATCCTCATCTAGCAAATATGCCAGTTTTCTCAACCATGCCGATCGCTGAATGGCAGTGAAAACGTTCCAGGGAACATTGAACGCTTTCTCAGCTGCTTCTACAGCAAGGTTCACGTCTCATTATGAGCCACAGTGATCTTCTCCGAGATCACCAATCTATTGAATGGGCTGTAAACCGTGTGTGTTTTTTCCCTGATTGAGGTTCAACGTATTCATCATTTATGTAGAGCTTTGTCAGATCTAAAGCGGATGGAATAAATAGGGTGACTTGCGAACCTCAGATGGAAAGTTCCCGAGAAAACGAATGACGATGAACTTACTAGCTTTTACCATTGTTTTGTTTTTTGTGCAAATAAACATAGTGTTGATTTTATGCTTACTGTACAATCATAATAAAGTCCGTGCATGACGGATAAAGGTGGAACACCCCAAAGCTTGGCCAACAACCATCTTGGCCAACACTGCCAGCAGTGTCACAACCGAAAATGCCTCGAAATACCCATTTCCACCCAGGCCGGGAACCTCTCCATGACCATCCCAGCCTTGAACTTCGCCGAAACCATGTTTCCGGCCCAATGCCGTTCTTAAACCCAACGCGGGCGCGGTACGCACCCGCGCCAGGGAATGCCTCAGCGGACCAACCCACCACTCCAAGACCCACACCCGAATTTGTGGAGCACCTCTGGCGTTCGCGCGACAATCGCAAAGGAAGACATGTGTTACAAGTGGACTATGAGGCTGCGCGACAAGATACCGCAAACGCGCCCCCGCAACCTACGTCTACGATTCGGGAGGCGAGGAAAGGGGTTATACGGATGGCTACATGTGTGCCTTACTGGGATGTTTCGTATCTCGTTGCCATGACATTTACTCTTGGCTCTGCTGTTTGGATCATCAATGCCTTTTTCGTTTGGCAGCCGCTTGTAGATCCGCAGACCGAGTTCTCTGGCGAGTCATACGTGGGTGGTGGAGTGACCGGGTTTATCGGTGCTACTATCTTCGAGGTTGGTAGTGTTCTGCTACTTCTGGAAGCTGTCAATGCGCATCAAACAGGGTGTTTTGGATGGGCACTCGAGACGGAGATGAGAAAGGCCGAGGGCGATGCAGTTCGGACTGTCAGGGTGAAGCCAGTCACGGAGGACTGTCAACATCATCATGCGAACAAACGGAATCTGGTAGGGGCTGGTAGAATAACCCATCGCCTCTCTCATGATGCCGTGGAGGGTTATTCTACGTCGTCACCGGATGGTAGATCGTTCCGCTGGGTTCCATCGCTGTCAGAGCTTCGGGATCATTACATCCACGAATTGGGGTTCCTGGCATCCGTGATCCAATTTTTGGCGGCAAGCATTTTCTGGATTGCCGGACTAACTGGGCTGCCTGGCATTATCAACCACATGAGCCAGGGTCTCACCGATGGAATCTACTGGGTTCCGCAAATTGTCGGTGGTCTTGGATTTATCGCGAGCGGCCTACTGTTTACTCTTGAGACCCAGCAGAAATGGTATAAACCCGCCCCCAAGGTCCTGGGCTGGCATATCGGAGCCTGGAATTTCATTGGCGGGATTGGCTTTACTCTTTGTGGTGCCCTAGGGCCAGGAACCACTTCGTCAAAGGTGGAGTACCAGGCCACCCTTGCTACCTTCTGGGGGTCATGGGCTTTTATGATAGGGTCCACAATACAGTGGTATGAAAGTCTTCAAAAGTACCCCGTGGAAAGGAAACGCACCGAAAAGTGATAGTTGATTATCTTGTACATACGATACTACATTATTACTCTATAGTCGATACCCATGTCCATCTGCAAGTATTTCTCGGGACAATTGCACCACCAATTCAACACAGAGGCTCTGATATCAACCTACCAGAGATGCAGCATCTCGAGGATATCATGACGGGCGAAGAATGAGCGGTTCCGCTTGCCAAACATATCTGCAAAGGATGTAAGTTCAAAATAGCCGATTAGTCTCGGAAGTGTGAACATACACATAGGAATACTGAGCAGACAAATGCCCACTTGGATGCTGCCGATGATAATCATCGTGTGCTTGACACCCCCATGAGCAAACCAGTTATATGCAAAGAAGGTTAGCACAAAGCTGAACATGTTCTTGAAGACCAGCAGGCAAGTGAATGCTTCCACGGCAATTTCCCCTATAATAATCAGTCGAGGCTCATCAATTAGAGAAAGACTTTTTTTCCACTCACTGTGTGCATCGACGATGTAAAGTGAAGCGGCTACTGCGCCCATAACCATGCCAATGATCAGAAATGCGAAGAACACGTCCGGTAAGAGCCAGTGGTATTTTTCCACATCGGAGGCTGTCCACCCAAACCCATACAGGCCCATGGCACTGAAAACTAGCTGGAAGACCACTAGAAGGATTCGGAATTCCGGCTCATATTTGCCTCGGTTGAGTCGGATCATCGCCTTATTCATGGAGTCGGTAAGCAGGCCAGCAAGAATGAGCCCTATGATAGCACCGATGAAGGCACCAGTGTATAAGTAGCCTGTTTTGTCTTCTTCGAACCATAGTGGTGGGCCCAGAAATACGATTGCTAGAATCACGCCGATGAACACGGCCCAACCAATGACGATACCTTGAGTCAAACAAGCCTTCGGAGTCGTCAGTACCTTTACTAATACTATATCAGAGATACAGGAGGACACTTACCCAGAAGATTCCAGGGTGGAAGAATAATGGAAAAGGGCGGAGGAGGAGCTTGAAAAAGCTTTCATCTGTCTTTCGTCCATTGAAAAGCCTCATCGATGCCCAAATTGAATTTTTCTCTGGTTTCGCCGTGGCGGAAACCTCTGTCCGTGTGCCAATTGCCGCAGTTCCCGATATGAACTCTTGAGCGTCTTTATTGGAGGGACCACTGAGGGGCCAGTTTGACTCAAAGGACTCCACCTGGCTGCTCTTGTGTTTGAAGTCGGTGTTCAGATAGTCGGGCCGTCGAAACGCAGTCTCGGGCACAAATAGAATCATGAAAGGTAATGCTGCACCAAGAAAAATGGCAACAAAGTAAAAGGACCATTGCCAACCGATGGACTTGGTGATTTTGCCGACGAAGACAGGAGTCAAGAAAGCAGCACCAAACAGAGCAACATTGGATACGGCCATTCGCTTTCCTCGTTCCTTTGTGACTTGTTAGTCTCGGAAGATCTGTTTGCTGTATATTGCACTCACATGGACAAAGTAAAGATCACCCACACAAGCATTTACCAGCGCCTCAAATGGAGCTAAGGCCACGCCTTGGAAGATTCGGGCCCAGAGAAGGCTTTTGTGGTTGTGTCCACTCGCACCAGCCCAAATGCAACTGACGATCATCAAGACGTGCCCAATGATGAACAGATGGCGCTTGCCCCAGACTCGCGCAGTTGGAACAATCAGAATTCCCGCTACTCCCACACCACACAAATGGTAACCTGTCAGAAGCGCGGCCTGGACGAACGTAATTGTTTCATATTCTGCAATTGTCACTGTATTCGCGGCCATGATCGAGCTCAAGGTCGTACATAACACTGTGACAAAGGACAGGATGGCAAGGATGAGGTCGCGTCTCCATAGTGGCCAGTTCTAAACAAAAATAACACACCGTTAGCATTCGGGAATTCAATACTGCAAGCTTCTGTTCACGGAAGTATATGAGCATACCAATGGGTCGTTGGGGTCATCGCTTGGCTGAGGTACAAGAAGGGTCCGCTCTGCAGTGGACCGGTCGTATTTCAGACTTGTGGCGCCAGGGATCTGGTCACTTGGAATCTCGTCCACCCCATAGATATTGGAGGTGCCTATTACGACGACATCAGTTGGGCGAAATCAATCATGGTAGAAAGTCGATCTCACCTGGAACCTGATCCAGCTTGCGATCCTCCAGCACACCGAGCCCCATGATTGCAGTGATTGCCAGGAACGAATATGACGTGAACCGAACTCAAAGAGAATCAAGTCAAGAGGGGTCGAGCTAAGCTAGTTCAAGCCTTTCTAATCTCATCTGGCAACCACAACCGACAAAGGTCCAGTACCAGCAAGAATGACCAAACAGTTTTCGATTTCAATCGACATGCCAAACCCGCGATTAGAAGCAGAATATAGATGATTCGGTCAAACTCAGGGCGCAAAAAATCCAGATAATCGTTGTCCGATCCCCAGGCCGATCCTAGAAAGTCCCAGTCCAAGACTCAACGGAATGAAGCCGCCAGAAATGCCGGTTTCAACTTTTGGCCCCCCGCGGCATCCCCGTGAGTCCAGGTGTGATTGGGAGAGATTGGTGTCACGTACAGATCTGCGAGGCTGTAATGTAATTTCTACATAGTATCCATTGGACAAAGGTAAGTAACACGATCGATGATTGGTGGTGGGGCCGAGGCATCACAGCTAGTGATGATGGCTGTTTTACTTTTTCTTTAAGTCTGGCGTTTTTGTGTTTCCCCTCACCAGATGGGTCATTGGATGATCTTTGAACAATCGTTTTCCATTTCCTGCGCCTCTTCATCTCGATGAAACATGATCCATGAGGGTTTCAATCAAATACGGATGTGAACCCTACCCTGAATCTCCAAACAGAGCTACGGATACAGGGAAAAGGGAAGGGTCCAGGGCTGAACCCACAACGGAGAGTTTCAGTGGTCCTGAGCGTACATTAGGTCTCTACACTAGACTCGATCTGGATGTACACCATTTTTGTGGTTTCTGGTATTGGGGTTCCATCACGTCGTGTCTATACAGCTAGCGGGACGTGTACATATGCTGATCCGGCCTCTATTCAACCCCTTCAAAGGCGATAACACTATGGTGACAGCTGCATGTACGTACCTCCGACAGCCATTCTTCTTTTGTCCAGGGTGGAGCCGTGTATTCCAATGACAGTCCATACCGCTGGATCTGGACCCCAAGTTTATCCATGCGGTCCCAGGGGTACACATAATCCCAGTCTGAATAGGTCCCTTGTTTAAGATTAGGGTATGGGCTGACGGGAGAAAAAGTGATCTCGATCGTTTTCAATGGTGCCTTGCGCTTCCATGCAGCTATTGCAAGCTGTCGGATCCATTCTTCCTCCATGTGTCCCCAGTTGTTGATTAAACTGTGGCCCATGACGCCGAACACTAGTCCAAACGTATGCAGACTTGGACCGAGTATCAGGTCCGCATAAATTGGGTCCCATTCAAATTTTCGGTTCCACGGGTCCTCACATATCTGGGTCCGCGACAGCCGAAGAACTTCCAGCAAGGGGAAGTTGGATGCATTAAAGGATAGTCCGTGGGGGAATCCCAAAAGGTCAATGTAAATGGTTTTGAGCGTCTCTTTGTGAATGGAGAGACACATGCCAATATCATGAAGGTTCATGTCCGAGACAAAGCTTCCTGAGGTGTTGATGGTAAAGTGAACAAGCTCCTTAGGCCAATGAATGAGTGCCGCTATGGCCTCGGGGTAGTCTTTGCAGCCCCTTAGCTTCACGGACTTGAATGATGCAGATCGAGATTTCTGAAAAATTGTGAGCTTCCATCAAGTTTAAAAACATATTCCCGCGCTTACATGTGGAAGAAGCATCTCAGAGAGGGCAGAAGTGTCCGAAAGTCCCGCCGCAGAGACTTCTAATGTCTCGAGGGAGGAGGAATTGATACATTTCACAGTTTCTGCCAAAGAGATACCTCCAGTTTCATCCCACATATCTCCTTCGATCTGCAAGTTTCGAAGCTGCCCCAGATTTTGAGTTCTTTGGATCAAAGATAATGTGTATTCTCGGACCTCGTCTGGAGCTTTGGAGTAAAAGCCACCCATAAGGACCAGAGATCGAAGTCTCGTGAACCATGATATCAAGTCATTCACAACTTGAAAATCCTCTTCATTGACTTCCACAGAGTCATCGTCAATATCGATGTACAGTGAAAGGCATAATGATCGTAAAGACGGCTTGTGCAGAAGCAACCGATGAAGCTTTCGTACTTTCTCCATCGGTGGCACAGTACAACGCTCACATAGATGTGGGTGTATAAATCTGATCTCTTCATATAGAAAAGGTGATACAACTCGGTGAAAACGATGGCTCACCAGAGCCAAGGACCGGATAGTGCCATAGTCCCGTTTCCGGGGTCTTAGTTGGGCAGTGCTATCACTGAGCGTTGCCCAGTCTAAGATACCAGCTAGTAACTCGTCTGGTAGCATAATTGCCGTCATATTGTAAGATATTCAAGAAACAAGTTGTTTCTCTGGTCGAAAGAGAAGTTGTTCTCGAGAAGTACCTCCCCAAGTAGGGACCTTGGTGGATTGTAAGTACCATGATGGACAAGCTGCGGCCCCACCTAGTTGAAGGGATCATAATGGAGAATGCAGTGAAAGATCCTGAAATGAATGAGCAACTCACATGCTGCCTCAATGAACACCAGTTCAAGGAAGCCCTCTGGCCCCTAGTGTAGTTGTTTAATGCCACCAGGACCGGCACACTACACCCACCCACTTCAGCTGGTAATACACATACCGCAAGCGCTGGGTGTCCCCGAAAGCCGTAAAAAGAGCTTGAACTATGCTAGCGCCATTGGCCATGGGCAGAGCCAGGGTATATTCCATTGTCGTACCGCGTATGAAGCTCCTGTAGGTCCCCTGGACAGCTCCAATCTGTAAGAGCTTGAGGCTTTCTTTTAAAACGGAGTAACCAGCTCACTTTCCTCCTGCAACTTTCCTTCCCCTCTCCCAATCCGTGCATCTGAAACGGTTCCAGTCTTCAGTCTACATCATGAAGCTCACTCAGACTATTCTGGCTCTGGCCATTGCATCGGCGGCTAATGCCCAGCTGGGCTCTCTGCCTCCCTGTGCGGTATTTACTCACATTCAACATCAACGTCCAGGTGAACCAAGAAACATGACTCTTGCTGACAATTGGAAACAGCAAACCTGTGCTACCAAGGCTATCCCCGCTAGCTGTGGCGTCGATGTCGCTTGTATTTGTAACAACAAGAGTTTCCTAAGCGACATCGCCTGCTGCATCGTTGGCAAGTGTACTACCGCGGAGCAAGAGGGTACGTTTCTATACCAATGGCGCACGAAGTATGGTTTAAATACTAACTCTGGCACCCCCGCTTTTTATAGACACTCTAAAGGCAGCCAAGGCAATCTGTTCAGCAGGCGGCGTCACGGACCTGCCTAGCACGGTCGCCTGCACAACTGGCGCATCCAGCACTTCTACTTCAGGTGCCTCGGCCACTACCTCGGACAGAACCTCTACCACTACCGCCTCTAGCACCACAACCGCAAGTGCTTCCGAGACCACCGTCAGTGGTACCGCTGAAGCCAGCACCACGGAGTCTTCGTCTACCACCAAGTCCGGCACCGAAAGCACTTCTACCTCTGGCTCGGCTACTGCGTCTTCAGCTTCGGCAGCCGCCACCACCGGTGGTGCTGCGCTCGGACATAACAAGGACGCTTCCTTCATGGCCGCCGCCGGAGCTGCTGCGGCCTTTGCCATCCTCATCTAGACAGTGACCATTGTCAGATATCGGCGTCACGGCGCAATCCAGTGATCAGCGATCGAGGAAAAGCATATTTAAGAAGAATCGGCGAGCACGATATGTCTATGATTATATCTCTTTAGACCAAGTTTTGTGCCAATGAAAATATTTTATGGCCGGATCGAATCGAATCGAGCATGGGTACTCTAATAATACACTTTCTGGTTATGGATGTCTAGCTTTCCTTGGCGTCTTCTAGCAGCTTGGTCATTCGCTCTTGTCGCTCCTCGCGGAGAGTGACGAAGATCTGTATCACCATGTCAGCAGAGGCATATGAACATCGCTCCAGCGGGATTCAACTCACCCAAAACCACGCCATCATCTCCATAAACCCAAAAGTAAACACAGCACGGTTCTTCAACCTATCAAGGCCGGCAGCGGTTGACGCAGCGGTATAGGAAGATGCCACGAATGAACCCTTGTTCGAATAGATAAACAATGCAATGCTAGCATAGACGGCAACGCGAGCCATGGCCACGTTAATCCAGACATTCCAGTACACGGTCAGGGACTTGGCAATATAATGGGGCAGCTTCTCCAGAGCGCGGAGATCTTCGGAAGCGAGGTTGGGATTGCGGAAAGGTCGGATATAAGGCATGGCTTCATTCAATGCATCGTGGAAGGGAAGACTGGCCAGAAGGAAGATGTCGACCAGAGCTTCGACGAAGAGGAAAATGGCACAAAACACGAAAGGGGAGTTTAAGGAACTTGTGGCCGGAGGAAAGTCCTGTAATTGAATGTTTCATCAGTCAATTGATCTTACATAGCGATCGAATGTCAGAGCCGAGGATTCCATACGACTTTCAAGGTTTCTCCCATCATAAACACGATATTGGAATCGGTGATCACCTCTGGGCTTTTGACGAGGTACCCAGCAATAACAACCAAAAGCACGGCATGTGCCTGGATGAGGGTTTTCGACGAAATCAAGACCATTTTGACGGTCGGGTGGTGGTCCTAGGGGTGTTGGAGAAGTTACAAAGTGGTCTTTCTGCGGGAAGCCAGTTGCTCCGTTTGGAATTCTAAAAGAGTAACATGTGGGGGAAGCCAGCTTCGCCATTCAATCCCCCCACCAACAGACAACTTGCAGTGCTTGCACGAGAACAACCCTCGGAGAGTGTGCATATGGGACTAATCTTGTGAAACAGAGCGAATTAACGGAAATTCCACGTTCGCCAAAGCTTTCTTCATAGTCGTTGCTTGTGCTTATCACCACGATGGTGGCACTCTTTACCACCGAACGCCACGTGAAATATTACCTGCGCTGTCTGAAGACCTTCCTGCCGTCTGCCTATACCTCGAATGACTCAAATCGCATGCTTCTGGCCTACTTTAGCCTCTCTGGACTAGATGTCTTGGATGTTTTGCAGGCCAAAACAACGCCGGAGGAGAGACAATCGTACATCAACTGGCTCTACCACTGCCAGGTCCCCTCTGGTGGCTTTCGCGGGTTTCCAGGCACAGATTTCGGAGCAGAGAGACGGACAGTGGACAATGCAGTGTGGGATCCAGCCAATGTACCGGCCACATTCTTTGCACTTGTGAACCTGCTCATTCTGGGCGACGATCTATCCCGGGTCAAACGAAGAGGATGCCTCCAGTGGCTACCTCGGCTACAACGTGCCGACGGAAGCTTTGGAGAGGTACTAGGGCCCGATGCAAGAATTGAGGGTGATCGCGACCTGCGGTACTGTATGTGTGCGGCTGGTATCCGGTATATATTGCGGGGAAGTATGAGCAAAGGCGTTGAAGACGTAAATGATATCGATGTGCCCGGCTTTATGTCATTCATCCAAGCGTGTCAGGTAAACTCAATTCATGATATTTTTATTCTTCTGACTAGGTCATTCTCTGGCTACTGACTCGCGCTTCCTGAACTAGGCTTACGATGGCGGAATGGCCGAATCCCCTTTCCGTGAACCTCACAGTCGGTATCCCCAGTCTGTTTCCTCTCCCTGATCTTTCTGACGATGGCGCCCAGGTGGTCATACATATTGTGCAGTTGGATCTCTAGACTTTCTGCGTCGGGCAGGCACGGACACCCAAGCGGTTCCCATGCTGTCGCCGGGCTCGGAGAAGTTTGAAATGTTGCTTTCATGGCTGGCTTCACGACAGACTGGTGAACTCGGCGAGGGAGAAGATGAGGATGACGAAGATGACGAGGATGACGAAACCGGGACAAGTGTACTAGATACACAGCCGACCGAAGATGTGACAAGGTCGCTGGAAGAACAGATCATCGCACTGCCCGGTCTCACTGCATTGAGTACCGAGTCAATACCATGCGCCGGATTCAATGGACGGTGTAACAAGTTTGCCGACACCTGCTATTCGTTTTGGAACGGTGCGACCCTGATGGTATGTGTCGCATTGAGACCAGCGTGAATACCCTCCCCCTCTTTCTTACCGTATAATAGATGCTGGATCGATACTCCGTGATAGATGACGTGCGTAACCGGCGATATCTTCTTGAAAAGGTCCAACACCTGGTGGGTGGATTTGGGAAATCGGTTGGAGATCCCCCGGGTAAGACAGAGAACGCCTTGATGACACCTTTAGTGGCGAATTTCCATTGCTGACCAAATCTCTCCCAGATCTCCTCCACTCTTATTTTGGCATGGTGTCATTGGCTTTCCAGGGTGAAGAGGGATTGGCGCGTGTCGACCCTGCACTGGTCACAACGGAGCGAGTCGTGCAGCATCTTGAATCCCTTTCGTGGCGGTCATAGGCCCGAACGTATGATCAAATCCGCCAAAGGGGGGCAATTGCATGGCCCAATGATGACTTGGGCCAATAAGCGCCTCGCATATAGATTTGAGAGTCTACCTGTATTGGGCTTTTTATATCATCAAGGGAATGAACGGGATCAAGGGGGAAAGAAGAAAAAAAAAACATTGTGTCGTCACCGGAGACCAAGTCAGCATCAACCACGTTGGCCAACACAATAACAATAAAAACTAGGAAAGTTAAATTGCACACTCCGTACATTAAACCGAGAAGTAGAATATACAATTGAGAATGAAACGGAACAATTTCCACTTTTTTTTTCCCGGTTCAGGGGCTTGAGATCCCGCGGTATGATGGAATGAAGTGATTTAGAGCGTTCGAGTCCACAGCCGAATACTCCACACCACGTTTCCCCGACCGTTTTGACGGAAACCTTGTATGCACTTTTACTTCTCTCTCTTATCCTTGGCTCTTACAACCTGTCTCTCCCCCGCCGAAACTACAGTTCCGCCTTTTTGAATGGCAACATTGCGCAACTCACTTCACCCCTAACACCCATACGCGACACAGATCTCCGCGGCCGACGGCAACCTCGGAGATCGATTATAACACATGCCGCCCAGGACGAGAGCGGGGGTTCAAAGCCAGAAGCAAAAGGAAAAGGTACGTTCGATCTTCGGGATGCAATCCCACGGCTCAACTTCCGCGGTTTCATGGGCCTCCGCCGCGCAGGAACATGTGGGCTAACATCGAGGCCGTTTCTTCTGGTCGCGCATCATAGCAGCTTGCGAACTCCTACAATGAATTACTCGAGTTCGTGTCCCTCTCGATCGAATTGACAATGCCTGATGACTGATACGCGGCCTGTATAGAGAGTTCTCGTCCAAGGATCTTCGGAGCGTGGGAAATTACACTTTAGGGAGGTTGATTGGCAAGGGCTCTTTCGGAAAGGTCTACCTCGCGTCGCACAAGCTCACCAACGGCTCCAAGGTACGAGATACAAGTGGACTAGGAAATCAAGGCATTCCTGGGTGCTAACGCGCAAGGCAGGTGGTTCTCAAGTCTTCTCGTAAGGAGGACACAAATTTGGCCCGCGAGATACATCACCATCGTCAATTTCTTCATCCCCATATTGCGCGTCTCTACGAGGTGGTTGTGACTGAAAATCTGGTGTGGCTGGTCCTGGAATACTGTCAGGGTATAGTTCATTCGGTCTTGTATTGAGCGCGGAATTATAGGCTGACACATATATCTACCGTCTAGGTGACGAACTTTACAACTACCTCCTGCGCCACGGTTCATTGCCGGTCGACAAAGTAAAACGGATATTCACCCAGTTGGTGGGAGCAGTGGCCTATGTTCATAGCAAGTCTTGCGTGCATCGGGATCTGAAATTGGAGAACATTCTCCTGGACAAACAAGAGAACGTCAAGCTCTGCGATTTCGGATTTACACGCGAATATGAGGGCAAATCGAGTTACTTGCAGACTTTCTGCGGGACAATATGCTACAGTGCCCCGGAAATGTTGAAGGGAGAGAAATACGCCGGTGAGAAGGTGGATGTGTGGAGCTTGGGTATTATCCTATATGCCCTACTTGCCGGCGAGCTGCCATACGACGACGACGATGATCAGGTCACCAAGAACCGGATTCTATCGGAGGAACCCATCTACAATGCCAAGTTCCCGGAAGATGCGAAGGCTCTCATCAACCTTCTTTTGTCGAAACGTCCATTGATTCGACCAAGCCTCGAAGAAATTCTCGCCCATCCTTTCCTCGCAGAGCATGCTCCTGAGCAACTCGCGATCCTTAAGATCCCGCGACCTTCACCTTTCACGACACCGCTCGAGAAGACGACATTGCAACGGATGAAAAGTGCGGGAGTCAACATCGACGAAATCATTGAGAATGTCTTGGCACAACGATGCGATCCTCTAGCTGGGTGGTGGGCATTGCTGATCGAGAAGGAGCAGCGGAAAGAACAAAAACGAGAGCGCAAGCGTCGGGAGCGAGAAGCAGAGGTCAAGAACCTTCGTCGTCTCAGCGCTGCTAGTAGCCGGTTTGAGAAGCTCTCATCGGCATTGGTGGAGGTAGATGAGGAAGGACAGGGAAATGCAGGCAGTCAGCTATCAGATCGGGGGCGTCGCGACAGGCGGAGCCTGCCATCTCAATTGGCAGTGCCGGAACTTCCTGCACTGCCCGAGCCACTACCTGTTCAGACACCTGAACTGAAGAGTGCTCCTCCTACGCCTCTCGATAAGGACTCTATACATTCAGCCTCATCATCGCGACAACGGCCGGTTCCACCACCGAAGGATAAGAGGCGATCCCGCCCGAGCATGCTGCATGTCAGTGCCTCACAACCGGAGCTTGCCCAGCATCATGGCCTCTTCCGTCGTCGAACCTCCGCGAATCGACGCCACAATCCAATAATTAGCCAACTAGCTTCGCTCAAGCACTGGTTCGTGGAATCAGCCAAGCGGGCGAAGTCGCCGAGTGCCAAATCAGCTGGCTCGCGCAAGTTTACCGACAAATTTAGCCCAGCGAAAAGTCAAGATACTGGCAAAAAGGCTACTTCCTTACCTGCTTCGGTTGAGCCAGCTGAAGAAGTTGTCACTCCTACCCAGATCAAACGAATCTCCAATGCCAGCAGCCTGGCCCCTAGCAGCGCTTCCTACCGCCAAAATCGCCATTCCTACCCTCGTCAGCCACGAGCGTTGAACACTGGCCATTCGAGTAATCGAAACTCACTTTCACCATCACCAATCACTCCCCGTGGATCCTATCGACGGTCATCAGCCGGACTACGGGGTCGCAAGTCAACATCTTCGTCCGTCTCCTCTATTCGCAGTATTCACCACACCCGCGCCCATTCCAAGGCTTCGTCAATCTCATCCAATAGTATTGATACGGTTGCCACACCTACAGCCCGAATTTCCAAGTCACCTCACGCTTCCCTTAAAGTCCTACCTACTACACCGGGTGCATCAGCTCGTTTCCCTAGCAATATTCGATATGTTCGCGGCCCTAGCGGTGTGCCTAGGGAATTCGGCGAGCATCTAGTTCCAGGACCGTCAAATTTCAATGAAGCGGTGCCTGCACCCTTACTTTATTCTCCTTCGTCAAGCCTGGTGTTTGCTCGGCGAAAGAGGTCTGCTTTCAAGGGTCCCATGCTTCATACATCAAATCTGATGGCTCCTGGTAGCATGGTCCACTCTCCGATCCCTGGTCAGCCTGATGGCGCAATAGAGCCAATAGTTGCCGGTGGACGGCCTGCTGCTCGCAAGAGCCAGATCATTGAAGAAGAGGAAGACGACGAGGATATTGAAGAAGTTGACCACTTTGATGGCGAAGAGGAGACTGGCGAGCCAGCTGACGTAGTTGACGAGGATGACCCAGAGACGGAAACCATCAAAGATTCTGCTGAAGTAGCCCAGGAGACTGGATCTCCTGCATCAATCCGCAAGCCGGCTCTTGAACCTGCTGCAGAATTGGAGTCCAGTCCGATCCGACCTCCACGCTCATCTTCATTGCGCTCACCACCACCTGAAGCTGCCACGGCAATTGCCGAGTTGACTGGTAGCACTGATCTACAGCAAGATGATATTGCGATCATCAAGAATGCCGATGCCGCTGGCGACGCGGCTTCTCCGCATGTTGCTTCCCACCAATAATGTTTTCATTCATTTTCTGGACACCGGTGCTTCCGTGTTCATCCCTACGATCTCATTGCTTTATCCCCTGTTAGACAATAGACCTGTTTTGTGATTCCTTTTATACCCCTCATGTTTGCCATTTCATACACACCATGTGTTCACTTTGCTTGCATTTCCTAATTGCTATCTGCTTGGGGCATCTTACCATTGGTCACCATAGCTGAATCTTTGATTTGGGCCCGCTTTCTCTCTCTCTCTTTTTTGTGCCTCTCCTAGTCTCCTTCATCTTGCTCCGATACTCTGCTTTACGAAGTGTTCCGCTCTCTATCGACATTTCCTATGATTTTCTTTACCCTACACCGACTCCCCATCCCCGGATACCTTTTCATCTTGTTTCCAGTCCGCATCGCTTCATTATCTCTCCATAGACTATTGGTTCGAATACGACACCGGCGCCTGCATAATGACAGAATCTTGTCCCAGCATCGCAAAATTACAAAATCAAAAGCGTATAATATTCATTTCTGTATTGATCCCTCACATTAATGTCATCTTGTCACAGCACGTACGTTTATCTCAACCGGTACAGATATTACTCAAGAGCCGATACACTGCACATCAAGAATAAGCAGCTGTCTTGTCCACTTCCTGATCCTCCTTTCCGACAGCTGTTTCTTCATCCTTGCCACTCTCGACCTGAAGTCCAACTGTGCTTTCTCCAACCTTATCAACTGTATCCCGGTAAGAAGGAGCAAAATTGACAGTAACAGCATAGGTCCAAGCGACAACCATGAACTGCGTTACACAGATTAGCAATACAACCCCAGAGAGCAAGTTTCCAAGGCATTTATAGCATACCATTGTAGGAACAATCATCGCGAACCCAGTGTCGTTGCGCATATCAGCAACATGTCCCAGGATGGGAGGAACGACAGCACCACCACAGACACCACCAACAATGAACCCGGAACCACGTTTATAATGGCGCCCAAGGCCACGGATTCCCAGAGCCACGATAGTAGGGAAGCAAACGGACTCGAAGAAGAGTGTCATAAAGAGCATAGCTAATAATAGCCAGGATCAGTTTCACCACTCAACCCGTACAGCCAAAAGCGAAAAACATACCAATACCACGTTGGTCTCTCTGCGTCACTGACGCAGCAAGGAAAGCTACACAGCAAGAAAGATAGACCAGGAAGATATAGCGAGCCTTGGTATACTTCATCAATCCCGAACCCAGGAATCGGCCCACAGCAAAAGCCCCCTGCGCACCCGCAAGTAGCTTGGCTCCCTTCGCACTATCAGTGCCAGGCCATGTATCAACAGCGTAGTTAATAAAGTAGCCTGCGATAGCAACTAGAGAGGGCCGTTAGAGCAACCGGGATATAGTCCAAAGGAACACGAAAAGACAAGAGAACATACCCTGAGCACCAGTATAAGTAAACTGCGCCAACGTCGCATGAAACAACTTCCACTGTTTCCAGAAGGGCTTATCCTGCTCATCAACATGAGTAGTGGATACCTGGAATGCCATATCCTCATCCGTCACCTCTGGGATATCGGAAACGAAGAACACAGCCGCAAGGCAGAAGACGAAGATACCGATAGCGAGGTAAACCCACTGCACACGCTGCAGGGCAGCAACATCATCGACCGTCTCAGTGAAAAAGGCATAAGAGCCCAGTACAGGACCAACAACGGTTCCAATTGCATTGAAAGCCTGCGCGAAATTGATACGGATTTCGGAGTAGCGAGGTGGACCGCACACTATAAGAAGCCAATAATTAGCCAACGAATAGATAGTCATCAAAATATCGGATAAGAACGATAGAATGGCATTCCATAGCTCTATAAAGCAGGAGGATTGAGTACTTACCAGTTAGATATGGATTTGCAGCGGTTTCGAGCGACCCCAGCCCAGATCCAATCACGAATGTCGCACCACAGAATCCACCAAATGATTGATGAAGACCTGCAGGCCACATACACAGTGCTCCAATACCATAAAGTATCAAACCAAAAATAAACACGGTCTTATAGCCGAAGTGACGCAGAATCCAATTTGCGTAACCAAGAGAGGCGAGTGGATAGGCGCTAGACTAGATTAGTGAACTGGTTTCTCTTGTGTATTGAACACCTTGGCTTCAATGGAACCGAACCTGGGAGAACCTACCCGAAATAAGCTGCTTGAAGCCCAGCCGAACGACCTCGGTCGATATGCAGAGTGTTTTGGAAGTGTTTGTTCAGTGTATCCAGGAGTCCGTATGCAAAGCCCTAGTATCTTAAGCTTCAAGGTCCCCGTGAAAACTGACTGATAGCTACCCCGTACATACCCAAAGAAAGAACAAAATAGTAACTAGACTCAGAGGCCATAGACTCTGGCGGAGAGTCAAAGTTGCGGCGGAAGTAGTTTGCCGGTTATCGACGCGCAGACCAGACCGTTTCTTGATGAATTCCTTAAACCCCATTTTGGCGGAGTCTATATAAAATTGGGGTATAGGAGATAGATTTCAAAGAGTAGGGGGGAAAGAGCCTCCGAAGCAGAAAATGGCCCCTAGAAAAGAAGAAAAAGGACAGGAAGAATGCAGGTATTTCAACCCTCGAAACACGGATTAGTTGGCGCTATTATTACAGGGTCGCACCAGAATGTCACCCCCGCGGACTTGGAGACTCCGCATCGTTGATCTGGGGTACAGTGTCGATCTCTGCCTGTATGGTGCTCTATCCCGCATGCTTAACCAGTCAGGCGTCGTAACTCTATGCCAAGGGTCCGGCAAACTCTTTTGCGAGCCGTGTGCACTAAGCATGGGGGAGACGTGTCGAACACACCGTATTACACGGGGGGGGGGGGGGTTAGGCTATGCGCGAGACAAGTGGAGCAAGTAATTGCAAAATTACGATCAACGATTTCATTGGGCCTTTCATCTATAAATGGCATGATATATGAGGTCTAGGCGACAGGAACTTGCCTCTCAGGCTCCATAGCGCATCCGTCTCTCTATTCAAAGCAAAAACTAGCCTCCATCTTCTATATGCCATATCGGATCATCTCGTCATTTTCTATTGCTTATGCGCGCTTGGGCTTGCCGGCAGTACCATTCTGGGTAACTGCGACATCGGTGACATGTGAAGTGTCAAGGCGGCGCTCTGCGAACTTGAGGATCTCGTCGATCACGCTAGAAACGGGTTAGCATATGAAAAACAAAATAAGAACAACGAGACAAGCTTACATAACAGGAGCACTGATCACCAAAACCGCCTGCCATTCAGTCCAGTTCAGAGGGATAATAGCGAACAAGCTCTGGAGGAAGGGAATGTAGAGGATAGCAAAGTGAAGAGCCATCGACAGGGTGATGGCATACACCAGCATCGGGTTGTTGTGCAGGAAGAAGGTGAAGAGAGACTCGCTAGAAGACAGGGCGTTCATCGCGTTCAGCATCTCAATGACCACCAGAATGGAAAGAGACACGGTCGACGCGGACTTGGCCATATCGTTGCTGAACATCTCGCAGCCAATTTCGGGGAACTGAGAAGAGCAACGGTGGAAGTGAGACTAGACATCCGTTAGTACATGATCAAGGCCCAAACTAATCACCAAGAGGACTTACCAGCTGGAAGTAGCTAATCTGAGGGCCCTCGGGGTTGTACATGAACCACCAAACATAACCGAACACTGTAGCGGCACCAACATAGGTACCAATAACCATGTAACGAAACAAGAGCCAGCCACCAACAAGGGGCTCATCACGGCGACGAGGACGGCGTTTCATGACATCGTGGTCAGGGGGGTTGAAGGAGAGAGCGGTAGCAGGGAGACCATCGGTGACAAGGTTGACCCACAGAAGTTGAACAGGAACCAGAGCCTCGGGCATACCCAGAGCGGCGGTAAGGAAAATAGAGACGACCTCACCGATGTTAGATGAGATGAGATACCGGATGAACTGCTGGGTGTTGCTGTAGATGGATCGACCTTCCTCAACGGCGACAGTGATCGTAGCAAAGTTGTCGTCTGCGAGAACCATGTCGGCAGCAAGCTTGGCCACATCAGTACCAGTACCCATGGCAACACCAATATCGGACTTCTTGAGAGCGGGGGCATCGTTGACACCGTCACCAGTCATGGCAACCACATGGTTCATGGACTGAAGCAGATCAACCAACTTGGACTTGTGAGTGGGCTCGGTGCGGGAGAACAGGGACGCGGTCTCAACCGCCTTCATCTTCTCGCCCTCGCTGAGGTTATCGAATTCGCGGCCGGTGAAGCTCTTGCCAGTGAGATCCTCGTTGGCTCCGAAGATACCAATTTGGCGACAGATGGACTCTGCGGTGTTGGGGCTATCACCAGTGATGACAATGACACGAATACCAGCATCCCTACACTTCTTGATCGAAGCTGCAACCTCGGGGCGCGGGGGGTCCAACATGCCAACAAGACCAATGAGAGTCATGTTCTGCTCAAGCTTGGCGTAGTCCTCGGTAGAGGTTGCATTCTTCAGGAGTTTGTTGCCAGACACGTCACTCACACTCGCGATGGCCATGACGCGGAGACCCTTGTTACCGTATTCGACCACCTGCTCAGAAAGCAGCTGAGCGTGCTTCTTGGAAAGAGGGACTTGGGATCCTTCGGAGCCTTGCAAGACATGAGAGCAGCGTTCCAGAATTGATTCGGGGGCACCCTTGACCAGAAGCTTCTGCTCCTTGCCCTGGCCAACAAGAACCGACATACTCTTACGGTCACGGGAGAACTCGTAAGTGGCCTGGAGCGGAAGACGGGATTCGTAGTGCGAGCTTGCGAGATGCAGTCTCTCAGAAGCTGGAAGGCGGAAAAGATTCTGGTTCGCGGCGGCGTCGCTGGTACCAATCTTCTCAGTCAAGGCGCGGAGGGCTGCCTCCGTTGGTTCACCAATGTTTGAAAAGGCACGAGTTTTAGCATCATAGGACAATGTAGCGGCGTTGCAAAGAGCGGTAACTTCGGTAAGCTGGCGGATAGTAGACGAGGTCACAGCCAGATTTTCAACCACCTTACCATTGCAGGACAGCTTGCCCTCCGGGGTAAAGGTGGTACCCTCAACGTCAATTTCCTCGACACCGTTGCCAGAGCTAGCCAGGTAAACGATCTTCTCAACACTCATCTGGTTGGTGGTCAAGGTTCCTGTCTTGTCAGAGCAAATCACACTGCAGCTACCCAGAGTTTCCACCGAGGGCAGGGACCGGACAACTGCGTTCTTCTGGGCCATCTTGCGCGTTCCAAGAGCCAAGCAAGTGGTGATGACCACAGCAAGACCTTCAGGAATAGCGGCGACACCGAGAGAGACTGCAATCTTAAGGTAGTAGATTGCACCCTTGGTCCAAGATCCACCGAAAGAGGGGTCGTTGAAGTGTTCAATGTTGATGAGCCAAACCAGGACACAAATGACGGTAATCACCTTCGCAAGCATGTCACCAAAGTCATTCAGCTTCTGCTTCAGAGGGGTTGGCTCCGAGATCTGAGAAGTAATGCTATCGTGAATGTCACCAATGGCAGTAGATCCACCAGTCAAGACAACCAAGGCAGTAGCGTGGCCATTGACCACGGTGGTACCCGAGAAAAGCATGTTAACCTGCTCCTGCTTGACAGCCTGGCGGTCCTTGACAGCGCCGGTCTCCTTGCCAACACTCTCACTCTCGCCAGTCAAGATAGCCTGGTCAACGCGGAAGCTGTTGCTGTGGATAGAGAGCAGACGGCAGTCGGCGGGGACACGGTCACCAACGGCAATGTGAATCACATCACCAGGGACTAGATCCTCAGCCTTGACACGCTGAGATTTTCCACCACGCACGACCTTGGCCTCGTTGGCCGAATATTCCTGGAGGGCCGCAATCGCCTTCTCAGCGCTGCTTTCCTGGGTCACACCCACCACCGCATTGAGAATCAAAATAGTAAGAATCTGTTATGATGGAGAACCAATTAGCAAGTGAACAATCAATGGACCATTCTCCAAAGAAAGGGCCCGTTAATGATAGAGGTACGCACCACAGCCGGGTCGACAAAGGCAGTCCAGTCGTCGCTCTCTTCGAACAGGGCCAAAACAAAAGAAACAGCAGCAGATCCAAGAAGAATAAGGACCAGTTGGTCCTTGAATTGCTCCAGAATCAATTCCCAAAGAGGAGTCGGAGGGTCTTCGGCCAGGGCTAGAGGGTTGTTAGTTTATCACGACGAAACGTCAAGATAGTGAGTCACTGACCATTAGGACCATGCTGCTGTCTAGACTTCAGCACGGCATCTTGTGACAGGCCTGCGTTTTCCGAGACATTGAAATGGTCCAGCGCCTCTGCTGGGGTATTTAGAAAAGCGTTCTCCATTACGAGCTACTCGTACTGGATCACAGATGGGGGTCCAGAGAGCACCGGGGCAGATATGCGGAGAGTCTGGGGAATGACAGAAATAGGAAAAAGAAAAAGAAAGGATTAAACTCGATACATGGATGTCGAGGCGGTGGCCAGTCGAAGTCGAAGAATTGGCAGACGCTCAGGATATGCAGGGAAACGAGTAATAAGTACTGGGGATTTCCGTGTTCTCACAAAAAGCGCGACGTAAAAGTGGAGGCGGCGGAGCAACAACGTGTTCTCATCCAGTTGATTCCATTTCCGAATCGGGGGTCTGCTGAATCAGCAACAGGGCTGAACCTGACACTCCGCAACAGTCCTTTGTTCTCCACTATCGCGGTTAATTATTCGGCCCAGACCATCATGTCTGATACAAATGCATCTTACTCTTATCATTCTGGTCAAGCCCTTCCCAAGTGCTGGCTTGATTAGTTCTCACCTTTCCTGAAGGGGTATCGGGGATCTCCAGTATGTCTTCCGAGAGCTGCGATGGAATTATGGGGCATTTGCTAGGCTGCATCGTTCTCACGCGGCACGCCTATCGGACTTCACTAGTGGAGTTCCTGCTTCCCTTTCAGTAAGAGATTGACCCAACCCGACACTGAATCCTGCAAAATTCAGTGGACCTGGCCCTATGAACTGAGTGGATTCATCTGGAGACTGGGCAGTCGATATGATTTCTAACTGGTGCTTTGGGTTATATTACGCAAGTCATCTTGGCTCCCATCCTGGCGCTCGTCCCATCTTCTGGCCCATCATGTATCCGCAATTGGCATGGTCACCACACGCGTCATGGCACCGGTGATTTGGCAGGGGTCTCTCAGATAATTAGCTTACAAAGGGCAGATCTTCTGTCAGGTGGCAATTCGTATACGCTTACGATTTGTTCCCTTGCTTGTAGGGCTGAATCTAGCTCATCCACATTTGCATCATGGGCCGAACCTTGGAGACCACTCTCATATGCTACCGGGCCGCTGGGGTAGATGACTGTCGCGACGAACTGGACCCAATCATTCTGTCCATACAGCCCAGCGACGTACAGATGCTATGAGTAGGAGTTGATCCGTGTGATAAGATAGGCGTAAACATATATGACATTGATTATTGAGGACTCGGGGCGGCGTAGTCTAGGTAGACAGTGAACTCCTTCGCCATTGGCCCTACCATTTTGGGCCGAGGGTCCAAGATAGGAAAAGAGCAGCCCCATTTCTGAGGGATCAGAAGTCGATAGACACATGTATAAACCTCTAATTATGATCGGCTTTTCCATACACAAAACAGTTCTTGATCCATGGACCCAAAAAGAATCAACCAGTCCAGGTATTCCGCCGATGTTGCCCCAGCTGGGCAACAGATGTGGCATAGTCAGTACGGTGGTTTTTAGACACCTAGATAGCAACTATACCATGAAGAACCAATGGGATCCAGAGAAAAAATCATTCAAACAACCCAAATTGGATGGGTAAATAAAGCGTATAGATAAAGATTCATCTACAACCGCCTGTGACATTATGTGGACCTTCCAAGCAGACAGATCTGGATGTCGCCTTAGAAACACTACATCATAGTTGGTTTCTTAATGCTAGAAGATTCTATGCGTTGCATCATCGTCATCTCTAGACCCCCGATCATCCCACAAGAGCTTCCACCTCATCACCATGAAGGCTTCCCCTAGACCCGAATTAAGATAAAGGAGTAATCGAGAAAAAAAGGAGACAAATAGTCACTATGGCTAGAAGAATCTAGAGGGTCCACAGCCCTTTCAACTGATCATCCGTGTGACAGTACGTAAGTCTTTGGTACCATCAATACGGCGGCTTTGGTGATGTGCAACGCACACTTTAAAGTAATTGCTGAGGGTACTAATCACAGAGATTGTGGATCTAGCAAGATTATGAGATCTCGGAAAAAAACATCTTCATGATAATACCCAACGCCAGCCATTGACAAGGCCAGTATACTTAGTAATGCAAATACTGGGCAGTAACCAGAGTACCCGGGTACATGGCGGTAATAAGGATCACACAGCGGGAGACCAGGTACCCGATACAGTGTAATGGTGTATTGTTATGATTCTCCCCCAACTCCCATCTCTCCCTCTCTCACTCTTCCCACCCCCACTTGGTCCTCCTCACCTTCTCCTTCTGCATCTCCGCTTCCATCCTCTCCAGTTTTTTTTTTTTCCTTGCTCCTCAAATATTCCCCAGTCTACTCTATCCACATTTAAACATGGGTTCTGAGGTATGTTGCCATTCTGTCCACTCTCCCCACAACTTGACCCCTCCATGAGTCGTCACCGCCATCGCAATCCCACGCACGACCACTTTCCTGTGACTGTTGATCTTCTGGCATATCGGCTAATACGCGTTTTATTATGCAGCGTGAGAAGTAAGCATAGCAAATCCCGAAATATCTTTTTCCCTCTACGTGATACTCACCCCCTCATCAGCAAGACATTCCTCGCGCGGCTCTGCGAGCAGGCCGAGCGCTACGATGGTAAGATTGACACGGGTAATCCATGAGTCTTGGGGCTGACAGATATTGATCAAACTCAGAAATGGTCACCTACATGAAGGTTGGTCGCGTCTATTCTAATCTTTGTTATGGTCCAGGCTAACCGTCTCTTACAGGAAGTTGCCAACGTATGACAAGCCCCCCAGGTCGCATTTGGGGGTAGACACTGACCCAATCTTAGATCGGCGGTGAGCTTACTGTCGATGAGCGTAACCTTCTCTCGGTCGCCTACAAGAACGTTGTTGGCACCCGTCGTGCCTCGTGGCGCATTATTTCCTCCATCGAGCAGAAGGAGGAGTCCAAGCGTTCCGATTCCAATGACCACGTTAACACCATCCATGAGTACCGTGCCAAGATTGAGCTTGAGTTGGAGAAGGTCTGCGAAGACGTCCTCAATGTCCTTGATGAGGCCCTGATCCCCAAGGCCGAGACTGGCGAGTCCAGAGTCTTCTACTACAAGATGTGCGTATTATCCGTAATTTGCCATGAGAGAGATGCGGATGACTGATTTCCGATTATAGGAAGGGTGACTACCACCGCTACCTCGCTGAGTTCGCCTCCGGGGAGAAGCGCAAGGTTGCTGCCACCGCTGCCCACGAGGCCTACAAGGTATGTTATTATGATCTCCTTTTTGACGTTCAGCGATTGACTCTGCTTCCCACAGAACGCGACCGATGTTGCCCAGTCCGACCTCACTCCTACTCACCCCATCCGCCTTGGTCTCGCCTTGAACTTCTCCGTATTCTACTACGAGATCCTTAACTCCCCTGACCGTGCATGCCACCTCGCCAAGCAGGCCTTCGACGATGCTATTGCCGAGCTCGACTCCCTCTCCGAGGAGAGCTACCGCGACAGCACTCTGATCATGCAACTCCTGCGCGACAACTTGACCCTTTGGACTTCTTCTGATAACATTGAGAGTGAGGCCCCCAAGGACGAGGACAAGCCTGAAGAGGCTCCTGCCGCTGAGGAGCAGGCCGAGGAGGCCAAGCCTACCGAGACTGAAGAGTAAATGGTTGCGACAAGCCGATATTATCAAGGGAGGCGTTCGCATTTCTTCCTGGAACGTGGTTAGCAAGTCGCTTTTGTTTTCACCGCAGCGTGGCTGGGTTGGGACCGGCACTTAACCCCCCTTGCACGTGTTCGTGACCGTGTGGGTCGGCCGGCGGAGTTGATATTCGGTTTGACGCGAGCGAAGAAAAGGGGCTGAGTGGAATTTCTCTCTCTTTTACTGTCTCTATTCCCACTCCAGCACGATTCAATGTGTTTATTTTCCAATTCATCCTCTTTGAATTTCTATCTGTCTTCTATCTTAGTGGCATTCGTAAATATATGCCTGAATTCTGGGGCATGACAAGATTTGATATAAAAGGAACACAATAGCCTGGACAATTAACGCAGGTTTGTCTATATATCGGTCTCGCGGACGATCTTGTGATGCATAGCGTCCCAAACTTGTGTCCGCAGCATCACGTCCGCATGCGTTGCACCAGGGACATCTACAATCTCAGTCTTCACCTTGATATCTTTCGACATCCTCCGCGCACTTTCCAGTCCAAAAAAGACATCATTATCCGTCGTAAACCACGTCATAGCAATCGGACAATCCCGGTACAAGCCCGTCAAGACTTCCCTAGTAACCCCCTCGAGACGCTCATATCCCAGACGATAATCAAGATCTACTCTCTCATTCCGAATGTGTCCACGTCCGGTATCCGTTTGCTCAAGCACCAACTTCTTTCTTTCACCGGAGATCACCCAAATCCCCTCGTTCCCATTACCGTCCGCATTCTTCGTCATCAGGCCAGTAACCATATCCGCCAACCACTTAGGAGCAGATCCAGAGTCTAGCTTCGTGATAGCCTTGAACATAAAGACAGGCATCGTACACATAGACTCCATAATATTTGAGCCAGTATAAGCAGCGGGGATATGGGTACAGATCGGAAAGACATGCTCCACTCTCTGTGGGGCATAGCGAGCAAGATCAAACATTTGATAAGCACCCGCCGAGTGTGCCGCAATGCTGAACTGATTGATGTGAAGAGTATCCAGAAGTTCTAGGGTGATGGTGCTTAGCTCGGTGAGGATTGCGAGACTCGTACGGGCGGCATCTTTGCCTTGGACCCATCGGTCTATGCAGATGAGCGATAGGTCTGGATGGGATTCTAAAAATGGTTCGAATAGGCCCATTAGAAAAGAACTCCCACCCGCGCCATAGCAGTAGACTAGGGTGTGTGGGGCGCCTTGGTTGAGATGGACGTAGTAGACTGTTCGGTTTGACTTTGCTGAGTCAAAGGTCTGGACTGTCACTGGGGACATGGTGGTGGTCAGACTTGAAAGCACAAAAACCACAAAGCTGAGAATATTGTCTGATGAGATGATCTTAAAACCAAATTACCCCCATGGCAGCCAGGGCCTAGCCGCACACGGTCCAGCCTCTCTACAGTGCACTAGCTCATTTTCTCTGCTTATTTTGCAGATTCATGAAAAGTTGGTAACTGGGTTTCAAGATTCTTTTATTCTTGTTCTTGACTAATTGGATGAATGGAAATACCAATAACTTGCGTACCTAGACAGATATCTGGTTTCCAGGTGACTGTACTTGAAATGTGACGTTGTACCTTTCATGATCAGAGACTAGTTGTAGAGTAGCATGAGATCTTTTTGTCTTTAGCTAGGAATAATGGAAAACTTGAAAGCAGCAGACGGAATTCCAGGGTATGTCTATAAAGCTCCTAAGTCCTAAGACACAAGCAAGGCCGTGGGGTACAGCATATACCCAGGAAATTTCTTGTGATGGACTCGGTAATACTTTAGAAACCCACGTATCCTGTAATATCATAACATCAAATGGAAATATAATGGTAGCCGATAGAGACAGTGTATCTACGGCATAAATAAGTGGGAATAGGAAGATTGAAAATTGCAGGTCAGGACCCAAATGAGTTCGTTCTATTGTTGTTCATGCTGCGTAGCCAAGGTGTAGGGGATGTACATTGTGCTGGTATTTGAAGGAAAAGGGCGGGGGCAAGGACATAAAGGCCGACAATGGACAGGGAATACCTAATCCATCAGAAAGTTCCTCGTTGCGTAATTTTGGCAAGTCAACTCCTGGATATGATGACAGCCGCCAAGGATCAAGAAAATTGGAAATGATAAAGTCGTCTCTTTACATGAAGTCATCGTCACCGAGGCCATCTTCATCGTAGGTGTTGCTGTCAACCTGGCTATCGCGGTTGGCGACAAGAGAGACCTTGGTCTTGGCAGCCTTGGTCTTCTTGTTACCCTTGTCCGAAGCACGCTCCTCGCGCATCTTCTCATTGCTGGCAGTGGTCAAGGCGCTGGCAATTTTCTTAATATCCGAACTGGGGAGTTCCTTCACCAGGCGGCGAGTGAAGTCCTGTGCCCAGATAGCGTACTGGGGCTTCTTCGAGTGCGGTGTGATCAGAGGAATGAGGGCATCGGACAAGCGAGTGAACTGGTCCTTGGTGGTAGGCTTGAAGAGGGGCATGGCGGACAGGTCGATGGACTTGGTGGGATCAACGTTATCGCTAATGACGATAGCCTTGGGAGCACCGCGGTTACGCTTCATGTCGACCTCTCCAAACAGGTCACTTGCGTGGGCAAGATCGGAGTCGATCTCCTGGCGGCGCAGGCGCTCACGCTTCTCGGCCTCGGTCTCGTCCTCAAAGTCGCTGTCATCCTCGGCGTTCTTTTTCCGCTGCTCGCGGTGCTCTTCCACCCGCTGGGCCTTGGTCTTCTTGTTGGCGAGAGCCTTGGCCTTGGCAGCAGCTTCAGCTTCCTCGGCCTTCTTCGCCTTCTCGCGCTCTACCTCGGAGTCCTCGGCCGCGTCCCAAGAGTCGAGCACCTAGTATTCAAGAAAATCCGTTAGTAAATTTCAAAATTGGAGAAGATGGTAATTTGGTGTGTTGGATGGGCAGGACAATATTCAAGGTCTTACATCTTCCTCTTCCTCGTCGTCGAATCTGCGACGGGGAGCGACGGGGGGCGTAAAGGTCTCCTCCTCCTCCTCCTCATCTGATGAAAAGACAAGGGGTTAGCGCCAGTCCAGGAAAGGTTGGGTTTCAGAGCAAGTTGTTCATGCTCCGCATGACTGAGGGGTGATCTCGATAGTCGCAAATGGATAAGAACGTACCCCACTTTGAAGGCGGCATTTTGGCGAAAATAAAATAAAATTGCTTTATCAAAAGTGAAATGCGATCACAGTGAAGACGCTGGGAAATATAAAGGACGAGAACGAGCCCGCGATCGAAACCTATCAACAAAGAGTGGAGGGGAACAAATTTTATGTGGGACAACTTCCAAGGGTATCGCAGGGTGGGATGTCCACGTGACCCCGGGTTCCTTGGTGCCCGACGGGTGTGATCACTTGTAGTTTCTGCTATGTTCCGTTGGAGACTGGATATGACTTCAATTTTTTTTACATAAGGAAAATGGCTTCGGATGTATCTTTCATTCAGAAGATCTTATTAAATTCATAATCATAACAGATGGCATTTCGCCACGGGGTACTAGGCCATCACAATTTTTCGCCAGTCGTTTTTCCCTCACTTAAGTTGCAGTCACAATATGGCTGCATTTACAGGTTGACCGAAGTGCGGAAGTTCTTGCCAGCGTAGACGGCGTTGTCACCAAGCTCCTCCTCAATACGGAGGATCTGGTTGAGCTTAGCGAGACGCTCGGAACGGGCAGGGGCACCGGTCTTGATCTGGCCGGCGCGGAGACCGACAGCAATGTCGGCGATGGTGACATCCTCGGTCTCACCGGAGCGGTGGGAGACCATGACACCCCAGCCATCGGCGTAGGAGTCCTTGGCGGCCTGGATAGACTCAGTCAGGGTACCGATCTGGTTGACCTTGAGCAGGAGGGCGTTGCAAGACTTGAGCTCGATGGCCTTCTTGATGCGCTGGGGGTTGGTGACAGTCAGATCATCACCGACAATCTGGAAGTCGGAGGTCTTGTAGAAGTAGCTCCAGGCCTCCCAGTCATCCTCAGCGAAGGGGTCCTCAATGCTGACAATGGGGTACTTGGTAGCCAGGGACTTGTAAAGGTCGGCCAGCTGCTCGTAGGTGAGCCACTTGGTGGGGTCACTGTCGGGGTTCTTGAAGTCAAGGTCGTACTTCTTGGCGTCGACCTTGTAGAACTCGCTGGAGGCAACGTCCATGGCAATGTTCATCTTGCCGGTGTAGCCGGCCTGCTCGATAGCCTCGGTGATCAGGTCGAGAGCCTCCTCGGCGGTCTGAATATCGGGAGCAACACCACCCTCGTCACCAACGTTGCCAGCAGACTGGCCGTACTTCTTCTTAGCAAGAGCCTTGAGCTTCTGGTAGACCTCAGCACCCTGGCGGAGAGCCTCGGTGAAGCTAGGAGCGGAGCTAAAGTGCAGCTTGTTAGCGTTTGATCATACCAAGCTTCAAATCTTTGACGGGGTCACATACTCAGGGACGATCATGAACTCCTGGAAGGCCAGACGGCCACCGGCGTGGGAACCACCGTTCAGGACGTTCTGGAAGGGGACGGGGAGGACGAAGGGCTTCTTGGTTCCGGCAAGGTCGGAGACGTGGACGTAAAGGGGCACGCCCTTCTCAGCGGCAGCAGCCTTGGCAACGGCCAGAGAGACACCGAGGATGGCGTTGGCACCAAGGGTGGCCTTGTTGGGGGTACCATCAAGCTTGTTAAGGAACTCATCGACCTTGGCCTGGTCCTTGACGTCAATGTTCTCCTTGATGAGGGCGGGGCCAATGACCTCGTTGACGTTCTTCACGGCCTTGAGGACACCTAATGAAGAGTTCAGGTTAGCCAGACTTGAATTTAGGTGGGAGATGTAATAAATAGTCACATACCCTTGCCACCCCACTTGGTCTTGTCACCATCACGGAGCTCAACAGCTTCGTGCTGGCCTATGATATTGTTGTCAGTATACTTTCCAATACTGCCAATGGGTGCACTCTTCATTGAAGAGTTCAAGGAACATACCAGTGGAGGCACCGGAGGGGACAATGGCACGGTGAAGGCCGGTCTCGGTGACAATGTCGACCTCAACGGTAGGGTTACCGCGAGAGTCGTACACGGAACGGGCGTGAACCTTGGCAATAGGCATTTTGAAAGATATTCTGATTTGGGGAAAAGGAAATCAGTTAGGTTACAAAAAGAGAAGGAAAATCAAAAGGACATTGGGGGTTTATGACAGAGCCAGCGTGTGACTAACGGCGGGGGTGGGAGTTCACCGATGACCCAAAAAGAAAGGGCGGGCACGGAGAGAGGATTGGGAAGGGGTTTGATTTGCTTGAGCTCAACCAAAAGTGCGATTGGCCACAGTAATGGGCACCAGCCAGGTTCTGGTTGGATGCTTTACCTTTTGCTATGGTTGGTTTGGTGTCTCGGTGTGTAGGGGAGAAAGTAGAAGGGGGTGAGGGGCAGTGAGGGATGGCGGGGTATATGTTTATGGCACCACAACTTACCTTGGGGAAAGTAAACAGGTCTAGAAACAGAACCAAATCAAATCAACTTGCTAAAATACGGAAACACCCGATATCTTAAATACCTTTGGCCCAGCCTCATCCCCGGGAAAGGTCAAGCTGGACCTCCGATTCTTTCCAATGCGGCGGTGGGGCTCCACGTCTTTCTCCAGCGCTTGCTGGCTGATCCCGACCGTCTGCGGGTGCTCCAGCTTGCGAGATCTTCCGTCCCTCGGGATTCTGCTTTTATGATGTTATCGTTAGCTCTCGGGTTCGACTAAGCTCCTATGAGATGACGGCATCCGGCCCAAATGTATACCCTCAAATTTAACTCCTCTGCCCCTCTATTACAACTCCCAACGGCTATTTTTATCTGGGTAATAAATGGAAATGTCTAGACAAGATTTAAGAAGGAAAAAAAAAACTCTGCATAGCGTTGTTCTATGGCGTTCCAACCAGGGCAAGCCTATCCATTGGTTAAAGGCGTGTTGCATGTTGCATTCAGAAATAGGAAAGTCCGGCTTTGGATGATTCAATTGATGACGAAACATACATACCTGTTTCCTCAGGTGTCTAGTTTTCCTCTTCGTGGCCTTGTTGCCTGACGAACTGTTAGTGCCTTGGTGCCTGGGGACTTGAAGCATATTATATAAGCAAGGCAAGCAATGATGTAAATCACGTGGATCAAGACGCGCTGTCATGTGACCATGTTGCAGCTCCCTCGCCCGGTGATGAGATGCTGCTGAAGCTCCCCCCAGATTGCATCCGTTTCGTTACTCACTGATTTACTTTTTTTCCATCATCAAATCGCTGGAATCTCGATTCCATCTTGCACTCAAATACCGGTCCACCGACATTCTGATTTTTAACCGCCCATCCCCCGTGTGAATCCCGACCCACCGGCCACAATGGACGCCGGCGACCCTGAGCGGGACCAGGCGCTCGAAGACTATAAAAAGAGCTTGCTCGAGCTTCGAGAATGGGAGGCCAAACTGAAGACTCTGCGCATGGGAATCAAGGATCTCCAACGGGAGTTTGATATCTCTGAAGAGAACATCAAGGCACTACAAAGTGTTGGTCAGATCATCGGCGAGGTGTTGAAACAGTTGGATGAAGAGCGATGTACGTCTCCAGAAGCCCATCTATCCACATTCTACTTGCAATCCAGGAATCTGACCAGTTTTAGTCATCGTCAAGGCGTCATCGGGACCGCGATACGTGGTTGGCTGTCGGTCGAAGGTCGACAAGGCGAAGATGAAGCAGGGCACCCGTGTGGCCCTGGATATGACAACACTCACTATCATGCGAATGCTACCTCGCGAGGTCGACCCCATGGTTTACAACATGTCCTTGGAAGATCCTGGTCAGGTGAACTTCGCCGGAATCGGTGGTCTTAATGACCAAATCAGAGAGCTGCGGGAAGTCATCGAACTGCCATTGAAGAACCCGGAGCTCTTCCTCCGCGTGGGAATCAAGCCTCCCAAGGGTGTTTTGCTCTATGGTCCTCCGGGTACTGGTAAGACACTGCTTGCCCGAGCAGTGGCTAGCTCCATCGAAACCAACTTCTTGAAAGGTGCGTCTTCTTCCTTCACCCCGCCCCAATTCCATGCTTTCTGACCTTTTTCCCTTCGCAGTTGTCTCCTCTGCCATTGTTGATAAATATATCGGTGAATCCGCTCGCCTGATCCGAGAGATGTTCGGTTATGCCAAGGAACATGAGCCATGTATCATCTTCATGGACGAGATTGACGCTATTGGTGGTCGACGATTCTCGGAGGGTACATCAGCAGATCGTGAGATTCAACGAACATTGATGGAATTGTTGAATCAGCTAGATGGTTTCGACTACTTGGGCAAGACAAAGATCATCATGGCTACCAACCGACCGGATACCCTCGACCCGGCCTTGCTCCGTGCTGGTCGTTTGGACCGCAAGATTGAAATTCCTCTTCCCAATGAGGTTGGACGTCTTGAGATCTTGAAGATTCACTCCAGCACGGTTCAAATGGAGGGAGATATTGACTTCGAGAGCGTTGTCAAGATGAGTGACGGTCTTAACGGTGCCGATCTACGTAATGTGGTCACTGAGGCGTAAGTGATCTCCGAAGGTCCATTTCGTTTAAATCTAACTAACATCGCCTAGGGGTCTGTTCACCATCAAGGATTACCGTGATGCCATCAACCAGGATGACTTCAACAAGGCTGTCCGAAAGGTGGCCGAGGCGAAGAAGCTGGAGGGCAAGTTGGAATACCAGAAGCTGTAATTGTATCTAGTTCTGAGCAGATCGTCTAGGCGATCCATGTCTATTAGAAATCTGCTTCACGGAAGACCATACATCCAGGAACTATTGACAGTCTTTAGATCCAGATCTGTAAATCAGCGCTACCATAAACATAGCTGTGGACCTTGAGCCATGGAAGCTAGAGCTCGCATATGTAAAGTTGTTGCCACTATGATGCTTGATGGTTCGTATGTAATCAATGGGGGGATCATCGGTCTCCACTTTCCCCGGCGCTTGCAGCAGTTCATCCTCAAAGCCATTGCCGTGACAAATCTAAACGGAGCGGGGACCTTGAGCTTGCTTTTCGTCTTCAACTTCGCAACTCGCTTGTCCGTGCCACCATACCTTATACGGTAATTTGGCCAAGCGCGTAAGCATTCGGAAGGAGGTCCCGCCCTGAAACTATCGCTGTATTCTTCACATACAGGGATCAACAGGGGACTTGTACTCAGACTCTTTGGTGCTCCCATCGTTCAAGGTATGCTGGCCTCTATGATCAAGGGTTTTATCTCGAGCTCGGCGCTATGGTTACGCATACCAAGAATTGACACCTGCATTAAAGCTGCACAGCAGCACTAGTGACGAACCACTTACGACCACAATCACCCGAAAGTCTCGCGATAGGAAATAAGTTTTCCAAAAGGGCCGACCAGCCCCTTTCAAACCTCGCTCCCATGCGTCTGTACTAGGTGGCGTAACCGATAAAACTGCGGACACCATGTCCTTCCAGGCACCGCTCCCCTCACATTCCCGTTCCCCCCACGACCGGCAAAATTCTCAGGGCTTTGCTGGCCTCGGCTTCTCTTCAAATCAAGTCGGCGGCTTTTTCGAAAACGAACGCACCCTTCCGATGTATAAAGACAAGCCTTACTTCACGCCGAGGCGTACCGCTCCACGGCGACGATGGAAACGCATTGGCAGTCTGTTAGCCTTATGTACTTTGTTTTTTTTCTGGTATAACAAGTCCTCTCTCCCATCTTTGAAGGGCGCGAGCTCTTCAGAAAGAGGGGCACGGCTCTGGAAGTGGGCGCAAACTCTAGAAGATGAAGCACCAGAAACCGTCGATTGGAATGCGCGTCGCGAGAGAGTTCGGGACACCTTCATCGTTAGTTTTGATGCTTACGAAAGAGAGGCATGGGGTAGGAAGTCCTGACGAGAGCAGACTTCATGTGACAAGGCTAATAGTAATCGAACTAGGCTACGATCAATACAGCCCATCTTCTAAGAACCACAAGAACATGGTGGACGGCGGGATGGGTTGGATGATCGTCGATTCATTGGACACCCTCATGATTATGAACCTGTCATCTCAGGTTCGCCATGCCCGTCAGTGGATCTCCACTTCGTTGCGGTATGACCAGGACCATGATGTGAATACATTTGAAACAACCATTCGCATGCTAGGTGGCTTGCTGTCTGCCCACTACTTGTCTACTCACTTTCCTGACCTTGCCCCGGTTGCGGAAGACGATGTCGGTGCTGCTGGGGAAGACCTGTACATTGAAAAAGCCACTGACCTGGCGGACCGGTTGCTTGGAGCATTCGAATCAAATTCTGGTATTCCATTTTCCAGCATCAATCTTAATACGTCTACTGGCATACGGTCACACTCCGATAGTGGTGCCGCATCCATAGCCGAGGCAACCACTGTACAACTCGAGTTCAAATACCTAGCGAAATTGACCGGAGAAGCTGAGTATTGGAGGGTTGTGGAGAAGGTTATGGAGGTTGTGGACGGACAACACCCAGAAGATGGTCTCGTTCCTATCTACATCCATCCAGACTCTGGAGAATTCATCACAAAGAACGTTCGCCTCGGAAGCCGAGGTGACTCCTACTACGGTTTGTCTTCATGCCCACTGACTTTCTGGGTGGATCCAAGCTTATTCGACTTCGGACAGAATACCTCATCAAGCAATATCTCCAAACATCGGAGCAGGAGCCTATTTACAAGGAAATGTGGGATGAAGCAATACAGGGTATTCGCAAACACCTTCTTGCATTCTCTAGAAATGCCAGGCTGATGATCTTGGGTGAACGACCCCGGGGCCTGGACAAGGGCCTTCTCGCCAAGATGGACCACCTTGTATGTTTCATGCCAGGGACAATTGCGCTGGGTGCCACTGGGGGCCAGCCTCTGTCCAAGGCTAGACAGTCCCCTGAGTGGACTCAACAGCGTGAGGAAGAGATCCTAATCTCCCGAGAGCTCATGAAGACCTGCTGGGCAACATACGCAAGCACAGCTACTGGCCTTGCCCCTGAGATTTCCCATTTTCTCCTGGATGAAATCCCAGTCATGATGGCAGACAAATATGCCGATCCTGCCAAATCCACCGCCTCGGCACCCTACGAATTGCAAGGCATCTCCCTTCCACTATCCCGACAGGCAGACGGCATGGAGCCCTGGAGACGGGATATCGGTATTCATCCTATGGACCGCCACAACATCCAGCGCCCTGAAACAGTCGAGTCCCTCTTTTACATGTATCGTATCACAGGCGACGTAATGTATCGCGAATGGGGATGGGAAATGTTCAAGGCTTTCGTCCGCCATACGGCGGTAGTTGAAACTGTGGGATCGACAATCCCCGGGTTAGGTGATCCGCCTCATGAGCGTATCAAGAGCTTCACTTCTGTGGGCAACGTCGAGAATATACCCCCGGAGAAGCGTGACAGAATGGAGAGCTTCTGGCTGTCCGAGACCCTGAAATACTTCTACCTCTTATTTTCGGATCGTGATTTTATCTCGCTTGAGGAGCATGTCTTCAGCACAGAAGCGCATCCACTGCCGCGATTTAAGCCCAGCGGAGAGCTGAAAACAGGGTGGGAGCGGAAGCATTGACCATGAAGCATCCAAGGCGTTTCATTTTATTGCTGTTCTCAATCTTGTCAGATTCTTAGTCACAATTAACAAGCTTTTTGGACCTTGCTAGATATGTTGACTGTACCTTTTTTAGACTGCACTGCCTTGGTCCTTAGTCCAAAACTGCATCGCTGCATAAGATAGCAGTGGACATCACTCGAGCCGGAACATGTACTAATATTTCCATCCTTGGTAAGAAAAAGCCCTGGCTCTAGGCTTTACTCCTGAACTGCCTTTCCAATATTACATTAGCTACATTGAACAATTAGGTACCTGGATATGTTCTCGACAATATCAGTACATTGAAATCCGAACACTATGCCTTATGTAATACTTTGAATGTAATTGTCACACGTCTTGACCACTAGGTGGTGTGCTGACTAAGCCTCCCGTCTTGGTCAGCCACACTAAATTGTCAACCCACACTAAATTGTCATTTTTTTCCCTTTCCATCCCAACTTTCCACCAGAATACGTTAAATATGTCTTCCGAACTCGAAATTCGCTACCAGCGTGCCCTAGCTACCGTTTCTGACCAATCCAAACCTAATATATCGGATTTAGCCCGGTCGTTCAACCTTCTATATCGAACGCTACTCCGCCAGTTCCACGATCGCGGAAAACCTAGATCTAAAAGATCGAACTAAAGAGCGCTAAATATAGTATAAGAAGCTACTTTAATCCGATATATTAAATAGCTTAACGATCTATAGGCACCTTATATACTCCACGATATTAAGCGTTATATAAATTCGATATTAGCATATTCTTAATAACCTCTAATTAGTAAGATATAGTCTAGTCGATTCGTCCAACGTCTTCTAGAAGGGTTCTTTTAGATCAAACAGAAGCCTATAGATAAGAAGAGACTCAAATTAGAGAATATCTCGCGTTTAATAACCTAGTTTAAACACATAAGAGGTTAGATTAAAGATATTAGTCTAAAAAATATCTATAATTTCGATAAAATAGGGTTCTAATTAGGTTAAGAACGACCCTAAAAGGTTATAATATACTATTAATATAGCTTAGAGAAGCTTAGCGCGAAAGATTAAGATTAAATTATTACCTTAGTTAAGTATATTACTATAGATAGCTAGATTATAGTCCTATATTTAATCTTTAAAGGTTCTATATATATAGAGGATTAGTTCTATAATAACCTAGCGCTTAATTAGCGCTATAATATTTAAGTTTCTCTAAATAGCTAGTCGTCTAATCTACTTACCCTTAAATAGCTTTATATATTCTATAAGAATACGAAAAGTCGCGTTAGGATCGATAGAAAACGCGTGCTTTTCTTTAATAGGCATAGATCCTATCTAACCTTTAAATTCCTCGATTTTTACGAAAAAAATTAGATCATTCTAATTAGCTTTCGACCCTATATATCCTATTTTACTTAACCTTTAGATCAAAAGCTATTTTTAAGTCTAAAATAGTATTTCTAGAAGGAAAATTCGCTTATAAATATATAGTTCTAACCTAATTTAATAAAGCGTTAATTTCTTAAGGATATTACTATAATCTAAGAATAAGTAATAAATGTATATATAATCTAAAGCGCGTTTTAAGATATAGGAATTTAGCCCTTTAATCCTAACAAAATTATTAGACTAATCTAAAAAAAATGGGATAAAAGGTATTAAAACGACCTAATTCTTAAGTTATTTAGCTATATACTAGAACCATAGTCTTTATCTATTAATATACTACTATAAATAGTTAAAAAGCTTAACTATATAGGAAATAAACTCGAAAAATATATTAGAAAATTATTAGACCAAATTAAAGATCACACTAAAGAGATTAATTAATTAAAATATGACTTTAAGCACTACTAGACTAGCTAGCTTATTAACGCGGAATATACTAACGAGCTAGAGAGGAAATTTATTAGGACTAATATCTAGGGGTTAAATTAGATAAGAGTAATAACACGAGTAGTATATAAGTATACTATAGGGATTGATATTAATAATAATATAATCACTAGAGAACTCTAGGGGTATTCTCTATAATTCTACTTTTAATATATAGCTTATCTAATTAGATTACCTAAGATCCTAGGTTAACCTTTCTCTAGCTAGTTCTATTATATAGCGGAACTATAGCACGTAGAAGTATTCTTAGGTCCTTATATACCTATTCTTCAACCCTTCTACGGGCCTTCTTATAGATATACTATAACACTATCTCCTTCCTTTATAGGCTAGGACTCTCTAGGCTATTTAATATAGGTTCTATTAGGTTCGAATTATCTTTATTATATTAATATATAGATATTTCCTTTATCTAGTTCGAGTCTTTATTATTATTTTATATAATATATATTATTCTTTAATCACGCTATAGTATAATATATAGATTCTTCGCTTATATAATTATTCTTCTTTTCTTATTCTCTTATCTTCTACTATGGCTAATCTTATAGCTTCGACTTTTAGCGTTCCTATATATATTAATCCTACTAACCTAGCTACCGCTTAGTATATATAGTATATTTATAATCTTAGTAGTATTAGTAGTTATTTAATCTACTATATTCCTAACGCTACTAGTAATCGCTATACGCGTTATACTAGGCTAAATTAAGTCTACTTATAAGTATATTATTCTCTTATTCTACTCTTCTATATAGCCTCCTTACTAACTAGGTATAGATAGATACTTATCTTAATCTATATATAGATACTACTATTCTAGCTCCTTCTAGAACTACTACTAAGTAAGCTTATTATAAGGCTCTTTACTCTATGTTTAAAGGTATTTAAGCGCGTCTTCCTAAGGCTATCTTATCTAGTGCTATAGGTCTAGAGCCTATCTATCCTATATATATTCTATCTCTACCTCCTCCTTTAGCTTCTCTCTATTCTTAAGTACTCACTTCTATTATTTCTATCTCTAGGGCTAGAGTTTATTTAAGTCTTACTCTTATAAGGGCCATAGATAGTAGATATTATAGAGCTATAGGGGTAGCGTTAACGCTTCTACCTACTTATCCTATACTTATCCTCTTATTTTCTCCTATATATATTATAGAAGGGGCTTATACTATTATTATCTATTAAGATCTTATCTATAATAACTATAGTATAGGTTTCTTAAAGATAGGTTAGCCACTTTTAGTATATCTCTACTTACTTTCGCCTACTTAGTCTCTTATCTAGGGGTTCTTTAAGGATAGTATTTAAGTATTTCTTAATTCTCTATATTTCCTTTATACTTTAGCTCGCTTACCTCCTCACTTTATAAGGGTAGCTACTCTTATATATCTACTTATATTATAGCTTAGAGTATCTCTAAGGCTTCTTCCTAAGCCTCCTACTTCTATTCCTATATAGTTCTACTACTAGCTTATATAGTTCCCTAATCTAGTTTTAAGTACTTTTAAGTTCTTTCTTTATACTCTTCTCCTAGGTACTAGAGTACAGTCTTCTTATCTCTATATATTATCTTAGGGAGTTATATCTATATTAATAGCGCGTTATCTAGTTATTAACTTAGTTTATAAGTCTAGGGTTCTTCTATCTTTAAATAGCACTTCTTCTTCTTAGATACTTCTTAGTAGGCTAGCTTATCTTATTACTTCTTTATCTTTTCTAGTATATAATAGGGCTATTAGCTACCTAGTATTATAGTTAAGTTCCTTAACTAGTACCTTTTCTTCTTCTTAGATACTTTTCCCGCTTAGCTTATTATATATAAGTTATAACTCCTTTCTAGAGCTCTTTCTACTTAGTAATATTAGCTTACCCTATAGCTCTTTTCTTACTCTCTCTAGGAGCTACTTCTTTACTAGTTTACCTACCTAGTTAGTTCTTTAACCGCCTATCTAAGGTTTTCTAGATAGGCCCCTTAGAGGGATATAAAGGAAAGAGGAAGAGAAGAAGGAAAATTTTCTTTAAATAGTCCTAATTTTCGTGAATTTTTCACTAAGTTAGTGACTATTTATCTTATCTTCTTATTCTTAATCTTTCTTTATACTTCTATAGTTATTCTATTCTTCTTTATTCTTTTTATAGATCTTAATTCTTATACTTTCTTAAAGATATCTAGTGCGGTAGTGTTCTTAACGTTAGAATAAGGTTCCTATATATTTTCTATATCTCTATAGCCCTTCTATTAGACTAGGTATTATAGGCCTCTTCTAAGCTTCTTCTTACTTAGGATCTTCTCAATTTCCTATTTATCTTATCTATTAACTTTAACTAGGTCTAGCCTTTCTTCGCCTCTTATAGGCTCGCCTTTATATAGTTCTAGTATTAATATATATTATACTAGGTAGATCTTCTAGAATATAGGCGTTAAGATAAGCTTATACGCCTATTTCCCAATCTTTTTCCTAATCTAGAATAGGCCTATATAGTAGTAGTTAAGCTTTAGGTATAGTCTACCTAAGTTAAGGTATTTTCCCTATATAAGTACCTAGTCCCCTATTTAGAGCTTAAGGTTCTTATACTTCTTATTATAGCCTCTTTTTATAGCGTCCTTCGCTTATTATAGGCGTTATATAAGCGTCTTTCTAACTTCTTATATCTCTTTAACCTATAACCTTATATCCTTATATTTATCTCTAGGGTATTCTTCTACTATTCCTTATAGGTCTAGTTTAAAGTTTATAAGCGCTTCTATAGGCGATATCCTAAGTATACTATACTCTATTCTATTATAGATATATTATACTAGTAGTAACTATCTAGCTTAGTTATCTTAGTACTAATTAATATAGTTTCTTAAGTAGTACTTAATTATCTAGTTTTATTATTCTATCTATCTATCTATCTATAGGTAGTATACTATTAATAGGCGATATTCTATTACTAGATAGTAGTAGAATATTAACCAGAATTTACTAGTAAAGACATTTTCTCTATCACTAATAAGGTTCTTTAGTATATCTAGCTATAGTATAAGTTTATTATAGAATATCTATACTAGTATTATAGCGTTAATATCCTTTCTATATAGGATATAGAC